TCCTTGCAGAATGATATGATATTTTGAGATGTGCAAACTGACAGGTGTCGGCATTTGCAAAATAATGAGACCAAAGCAATAGACAGGAAGAAACAAAATGTGTTTAGTCTTAGTGAATATTATTCTTTGGTTGGAATGTAGCATATTATAAGGGATAATGTGAGATAAAACAGAAGGTAGTATATTAGTTTACTATAGCTGCTGCACTAAAACTAGAGCCTTAAAACAACACATATTTATTATTTTACAGTTCTGGAGATCAGAAGTCCAAAATGGATCTTACTGGACTAACATTAGTTGTTGGCAGGGCTCTGTTCCTTTCTTGAGGCTCTGGGGAAGACTGCTTTGTTGCCTTTTTCAGCTTCTAGAGGCTGCCCACATTCCTTGACTCATGGCCCACCTTCCATCTTCAAAGCTGGTAGTGGCCAGCTGAGTCTTTCTTATATCATATCATTCTGACACTAACTACTGCCTCTGAGCTTTTCTGCCTTTAAGGACCCTTGTGATTACGCTGGGCATACCCACATAATTCGAGATAATCTTCCTTTAAGTCTGATGATTACTAACCTTAATTCCATCCACTACCTTGATTCTTTGCAATGTAACATTCACAGGCTAAGGGAATTAGGAAATGGACTTCACTGAGAGGCCATTATTCTACCTACCAACATAGGTTGGGGCCAAATCATAGGAGTTTAAAATATAGCCATTGAAGATTTTTGATAAAAGGATGATGTAATCAAAGCATTGTTTTGGGAGTTTAATCTTACAAACTTTTTGCTATTTAGAATATAGAACTGGAAAGAAGTCAGCAAGCTGGTGTGGTCTTTCCAGTTTTGCCATTGATCCTCCCTCACTTAGTTCTTCCTTCCCTGTTTCTCCTTTTCTTCCTTCCTTCCTCCTAGAATAGTTTGCATTCATAAATGTTTAATCAGAGAATTAGTTGTCCTGACCATTGCTACCGACACTATTTCTGATTCTCTTCACTGTAAGGTCACTTCATTGTGTTACAGGAGGAATACTAGACTAACAGTCAGAGGACCTGTATTCAAATTTTCTCAGTAATTTGATTTGTAACCTTAGGGATATTTTTTCATCTCTGTGATGCAATTCTTCATCTTTGTAACTGGGATAATGATAGCTCATTAGAGATGCACATCTGATAGCAATATAAAGATAACTATTTCAGAATTATGTAGCATAAGAAAATAACTGACTTGTGATTTCAGAACTTTTTGTTTTTCCTTTTGTATCTCAAAGAACCAAGGATTAAACAAACAAACAAAAAAAACCAATAAAATAAATAAATAAATAACGCAGTGGTCCATGCTTTGTCAACCTTTTACTCTCCCCACCTCTTTTTCCCCTCTACAGATAGGAATCAGGACAATTATATCACAGCAAGTCAGGTGATATGTTACAGACCTGTTTTTAAGACCAGACTACTAGGCTGTAAGAATCTTAAAACACTCACTTTGGGGAAGATAATTTAGTTGAGTGTTTTTGTTTATTTGTATGAAGGAATACACAGATTTCACCTATGCTTTATAAATGGCAAGATAGACCACTGGTAAAAATCCTAAAATGTTTGCAATTCATAACTTAAAATTGTTTGCTCTGAGTTATCTGCAAACTTTCCTTTGATCTATAATACACAGATAAGAATGAACCAAATTCTAAACTTCTTCCTTCCATCGTTGCTCTATTTCTTAGCCCTAAAAAAGAAAAAATATATATGTAGGTCTTACAATATGAAGGTTTCACATTAATGGCATAGCAAGTGTTGCCTCCATACACCTGTCATAGTAAATGTTCCAGTTATGTATAATAGAAATATGATGCAAGCTACAAATAAATGTGAATCTTGTGTATAATTTAAAAATTGCTAGTTGCCATATTAAAAAAGTAAAAAGAAACAGGTAAAATTAATAATATATTTTGATCTAATTTATCAAAAATAACATTTCAACATGTAATCATAATATAAGAAATGATTGAACTGTTCTTTTTAAAATTTGTATTAAGTCCTGGAATCCAATGCATATTTTATACATAAAAAAAGTCTCAATTCAGACTAGCCACATTTCAAGTACTCATGCTAGACAGTGCAAGTCTTCTGCCAAGTTACTTGCATAGTCAGTGCATCAAGTCTTAGAATCTGTCCTTGAAGATTCTATACTGCCATGTCCCCCTCCCCCTACCACACACACACACACACACACACACACACAGAGTCTTGCTCTGGTTCTCTCTTCCAGCTTCACACCATATTTGTCTCTTAGACTTACCCCTTCTATGCCACATTCCTCTCTCTAATCTGTCAAGGTCCCCTTGCATGTTTTACTGTGATTTTCAGGAGAGAAAACACCATTCATTAATAGTATGGCCTCCTACCTACTACCATACCTCCACAAAAAATGTTTTACCAGTAGAAATGAAAGCTGATCCCGGCAATATCCTAACCTTAGGGAAATGATATTTTGTCATCTTAGGAAAAGATAGGAATCACTGGAAACAGTGGAGTCTTGGTGTTAAATTGGCAGGAGTATGTAATTTATAGGCTTTATATCTATTGTTCCATGAAATACAGAATAAGAATTGTGTGTTTTGCTAATAGTAACACTTTATGTTTAATCAGTCCCAGAAGCCAAAATGCTTATTAGTTAGCTTAGAAATGGATATAACTATACAAATTCAATTTTGCCAACTAGGTTAGAGCAAAAGACCTTAATCAGATGTTTTTGTCATATCATCCTGTCTCTTTTTTTCTTTCTATTTATAATTCTTAGGATTTATATTTTCAAGGTTTTTTTTTATAGTGATGCATTGTTTACCTCTCACAATGCATTATTTAGCCCCAACTTTTAAATGCATGGACACGCAGTGCTTTGTTTTGTTTGTTTGTTTTTTGCAAAGTAGCTCTGAAAGTCATTGACAGAAATCCAAAAATGAGATGAAGGAAACAATTCTATTTACAATAACATAAAAAAATTTAGGATTAAATGTAACAAAAGACATACAAAACTTGTACTCTGAAAACTGCAAAACTTTGGAAGAAATTAAAGAAGACCTAAATAAATGGAAAGACATCCCATGTTCATCTCTTTAATAAAATTAATATAGTTCCCAAATTGATTTACATATTCAACACAATCCCAGCTCCCCTTTTTTTGTACAAATTGACAAGCTAATCTATATGGAAATGCAAGGAACCCAGGATAACCAAAGTGATTTTGAAAAAGAAGTACAGAGTAGGAAGACTCAAAACTTCCTGATTTCAAATCTATTATAATAAAACTCCAGTCATCAAGATAGTGTGGCACTGATAACAGGATAGACTTGCAAGTGATTAAAGACTCCCCTTGTTTCTGGGGCTCTGAGTTATTCTAAACTGATATACCAACACACTCTAGGCTTTTAAGAATTTGTTAAAAAGTTAGCTGATAATCTTGCCTGCTTGTGTGGTGCCCACTTCTTGCCATGATCTGCCAAGGGCTAACAGTTTATATATCCTGCTTCTTTTTGGAGAAACTTGACCTTCTTGTGGATTTTAGTTTTCTTGGTTGTCTTTGAAACTCAGCTGTCTAGTGAATTCAAGAAATGTTATGATTTTAAATATCAGCTGGTACTATTGTTACGGTGAGGTGAATATTCTGTTTCTACTTTCTGCATTCTAAGAGTGGAAATAGCTTGGCCTGTAATAGATTCAGCACTCAGTTAAATTTTGTTTAAAGTAGGTCGAATTCATTGAATACATAGGTGCCAGGTAGTATGCTAAGCACTTACTGCATGATTTCATTTAATCCACACTCTGTCTTTGAGGTATAAGTGTTGTTATTCTCATTTTTTAGATGTAAAACTGAAGCTTGATAGAGAAAAGGAACTAAGGCAGAACAATAAATAAACATTTTTGTTGATTTTACTTAAATCACCTTACCCCTCCCCTCCCTCCTGAATAAAATTCTTGAATCCATTTTTAAGTTCTCCAAGGAAAGGAAATACATCTTCGGCATTGCAAATTCTCATTTTCCCATTTGATGGGAAAGGAGGCACAATATAAAAGAGGGAAAGCTTGAAGGGATCTAGTTGGGCTTTTGATTAACAGTGAGAAGATACTGTTGGATCTGAAGGCTTTGATTGGTCAGTACTAGTGTCTAAGTTTTGTAATGGGTGAAAAACAAAATGGTTCTCATGGCTTTGTTGCCACTTTGCATTTTCCTCCTTCCCTTCTGCTTCCAATGTAAAATAGTTAATAGCCTTCAGTTTTTTTCATAAGATAGTCGAATTTTAAGGGTTTTTTTAAATTTGTTTGTTTGGAAAGAAAATAACCAAATTTCATTGATAAATATGTATGGGAACCCTGCACACATGAGAGAATCAGAGACCCCACATGCATGAGAGGTTCCTAGAATTTTAACTATATTTTATTACTGTTAATTCCTTTACTAATCTTCTACATGAGAACTCCTTTAGGTAGCTCTCATGCTAGGGATCTTAAACATAATTATTTGAACCACTTAAATTTGCCTTAACAAATTCCTTTGTAAGCTACATTTAATAAAAGATGGACTAACAAAGTTTTTCTTTTTAAAAGTTTTTGTTTTTGTTTACTTCCAAAAAAGAAACTGTGAGATGGATCTGATCAATAAGTTCAAATGAAACAAATGTTATTAATTTATCTCTTCAGCTATTTTCTGAAATTTCATTTTCTAAGATGTAACTCACCACATTAATCATTCTGCATTTTGTCAGACACTAGTTGATAGATGCAAGTTAAGTTCCATGCATTGTCTGTCTTTGCTAGAAATTCAGAACCTTTTCAAATGTTCCATGTCTATAGTATGGTCACTGTTATACTTGTGAACAGTTTTAATACAGAGACAGTGTTAAAGGTTAAGGAATAGGAACATGGAGAGAAGAAAGATTGTTTAAATATGGGAGGACATTGTATAATGCTCTGGCTTGATGGGACAGTCACGAATATGCTTTCTCCTCTTTAGTTATCAGGGAATATGAAGAATAGAGAAAGTATCCAGGAACCTAGATTTGATTATTACAACAATGAAGTTCCTGATATTGATCTCAGTGATTGTGAATTCCCACATGTCATTGAAATTTATGACTTCCCCCAAGAATTTCGTACTGAAGACCTCCTACGGGTTTTCTGCAGTTATCAGTAAGTATTTGCAAATGGTTGGGGATGTTAGGGAAGATGGGATGAAGTTTTCTTAAAAATGGCTTCTGAAAAATCATCGCTTTTGTTTTCATATTCCTTGGTAACTTTAGCATCAAGTTTGTTTACTGTCTTTTCCAAGTACATTAGAAGTATTCTGTATCAGACCACTCTTCTAAGTTCCTTAGAAACGCCAAATAGTCTTTCTAGACCCATTTTAGCTTTTAGGAAGAACAGCATTAATGATAACTTCTAAATCTGTCCCCATGGTGCATTTTTGGTTCATTATTATTTATTATAAATTAATGATATACAGTTGACCCTTGAACAAGATAGGGAGGAGTTAGGCATGCCAACCAACCTACAGAGTCAAAAATCCACACACAACTTTTGACTCTTCAAAAACTTAACTATACTACTAGGCTACTGTTGACTGAAAGCCTTACTGATAACATAAACAGTCGATTAACACACATTTTGTATGTTATATGTATTATTTACTGTATTTTTATAATCAAGTAAGCTAGAGAAAAGAAAATACTATTAAGAAAATCATAAGAAAGGGATAGTACGTTTATAATACTGTACTATATTTATTAATAGTGTCATTTTTTAAAAACTCACATATAAGGGAAACTGCAAGTTCAAAGCCACCAGTGTTCAAGGGTCAGGTGTATTTGGATGTATGCCTGCCATCTTTTTTTGTGTGTTTACTTGTCCCATCTTTTTCTCCTTCTTCTTGCCTTCTTTTGGATTGATGAGGTATTTTTTTCTCATTCTATTTTTTGGGGGAAATGATACTGTTTGTATTTCTTTGGTGGTTACTTCAGAAAGTACAAAATGCATGATTAACTTCTCAGCGGCTAAAATTGATATTTTCACACTCTCACCAAACACTGTAAGGGCTTTTAGCTTCATTCCCAATTCCATTCTTTACCTCTTCCCCCCTCAATTTATATGCTGTTATGATTGAGCATTTTGATCTTTTTTCTTTTCATTTTAAACTCCATATTATTTTATATATTCAACATTCAGATTTACCTACTTTCTGTGTTCTTTATTTATATATTCTTGCACCTCAAACCTTCCATCTGAAATCTTTTTCTTTCTATACATCTGGAATGTATTACTTAGCATTTACTTTAATAACAGTCTGATGGTAAGAAGCTTAGTTGGTTTTTATTGTTTTTTAATGGGCTTTTTTCAACTTTGTTCTTTTTTTTTATTATTTTTAAATATTTTTAAACCCTCACCCAAGGATATGTTTATTGATTTTAGAGGGGGCAGAGGGGTGAAGAGAGAGAAACATCGATTGTTTGCCTCTATACATGCCCTGACTAGGAATTGAACCCACAACCTTTTGGCGTATGTGACATTGCTCCAATCAGCTAAGCAACCCAGCCAGGGCTCTACTTAATTCTTAAAAGACATTTTTACTGGATATAGAATTCTAGGTTGTTAGTTATATTTCTCTCAGAAACTTGAAGATATTATTCTACTGTTTCCTGGCTTTTTTGTGGAGTATGAGAAGTCAGTTTAAAGTCTTAACAACTGTTACTTCTGAATGTAATTTTTATTTTTCTCTTTGGATGCTCTTAAGGTTTTCTCTTTGTCCTTGGTGTTTTTCATTTTCCATATGATGTGCGTTTGTGTTTCCTTTTATTTATTCTTTTTGAGATTATTTTCGCATATTAAATCAGTGAATTTTTTTCATTGGCTTTGGAGAGCACTCAGGTATTACCTCTTTAATTATTGCCCCTGTGCCAGTTTCTTTTTTACATTCTCTAAGATGCTGATTAAATGTATACTAGACTTCTCACTTGATTCTCATGTTACCTCTCATATTTTTCATCTCTTTGTTCCATTCTGCATCATTTCTTTAGCTCTAGTTTCCAGTTCACTATTTTTTTCTTCAGTTGTGTTTAATTTGCTGTTAAATCTGTCCATTGAATTTTTAGATTTCATTTGATGGTTTTTATTTTTCAAAGTTTTCTATATCTTTTCCAAATCTCTGTATCTTTTTCAAATCAATTTCTAGTTTCTTGTTTTCTCTAAATATTTTCAAGATTAAAAAAATTTAGGTATATTAAACATAGACCTTCTATAGTTTGTATCTGGTAAATACTTTACCTGAAATCCTTTTAGTTCTATTTCTGAAAATTCTTACTCATAGTGCCTTGCTTTTTTGGAGGTTTAGTTCTTTTTTTTTTTACAAGCTGCCCATTTTCTTTGGAATTTTATTTATGGGAATTGAGGCCTACAATGAAAGAAGAAGTTTTCTCCTGAAAAGATTTTTTTTTTCTGCTAAGCACCAAGAGCACTAACAGTTCAGGAGCACTGTAAATTAAATTATTGATTTGAGGTTATTCTGACCACTCAGAAATAGTCAAGTAAAGATGATAAAAAATGATTGTTACATGTCTCAACTAGTTTATTTTAACAACACTTATTAAGTGTCCATTCACTTGACAGTTTGGATGTAAGATGTAGTACCAAGGCCTTTTTAAAAAAGTTATTGGTCTGTTGGTAGAAGAGTTCTTGTATGCCACTGTCAATATATTTCAGTTTCATTTAAGTGGAGTAAGAACTTCACCTTACCTTCAGAATCATCTAGTGCATATTGCTAATAGTGTAAAATGTTTTCTCTTTCTTTTATAACTGTTTTGCCCAAATATAATTGTTGGTAGTTTCTTAGAACTTTTTAGTGGCTTCACCTTTCTCTGGTCTTCCAAAGCATTTAACTAAGGTTTTATAGACATAGCAAGTCTTCTATTTCACACTCACATTCATTGATTTAATTTTGTGCAGTTAAATTACACAGTGAAATACAAATTAAAATTGATGTATGTGGGTTTGAAAACAATTGCACTGACTCCAGGTATGTGCATCATTCCTAAATGTATAGGAGAAGGTAAAGAATCAGAAACATACCTCTGTATCTGTAACTTATAAGAAAAAAAAATAAGCTCCAGGAATAAAGAAATAGTTTAGGAAGAATGTTATGAAAAAATTTTCAGGACCTGAAAGAAACTTAATACCAAGGGAAGAATTATACTCTAATGTCCCCATCTTCATGGAAAAAGTGAATCAGGTCTGTTGTCTGATATTACAGTTTTAAATTTAAAATTCAATTCTTGTACCTGTTGAATTTGTAAGATTTTGTATCATTTAGAGGATAGCCTCCAACTTTTACTTAAAGGGCCAGATAGTAAATATTTTAGGCAACTCAGCCATTTGCACAAAAGCAGCCATAGACAATATGCAAACAAATGAGCATGGCTGTATTTAATAAAACTTTATTTATAAAAATAAGTGTCCTGTTGAACAGGTGAAACTAGCTAGCAGCTATGTACCTCACCTACATTTGATTGGTGGGGTTGCGTCAGTGCTGTAAAAGAAAGGGGTGACTGGATCCTGGAGGATAGTTAACAATCTCTGCCATAGATCTCACTCTAAATGTGTAGTGTAGGTCAGTCTGTCTAATTCATTAGTTAAGACTCAGTATCCATATATTGTTCCTTATAAAATGTATAATAGATTTTAAAAAGCAGTCAATGAAGTTAAATCACAAATTAGAACTTCCTTAAATTGTCATTAATAATGATGACTTTTAAAACCAAGGGTCAGTTTTGTTGATGTCTAGACTTTCCTGAAGATTAGTTAATTCTAGTGAATTAACTTCCTTTTGATTTGTTTCTTTTTAATCTTACCTGTAATACCTTTTTTCTTATCAAATCCAAATATATTTAAAAGAGAAGCATTTTAAAGGATTATACATTCCAAAGTCTAAAGACCCTCCAGAATCCACGTAGATCTCTTTGTATCCTTTTGTAAACTATCTTACGATACAGATTTTTACAATTGAATTTTTTCACAGTCTCCAATTGGTCATTTTATTCCATGGTTAAACTTTCCCTTACATTTAGGAAATTCTCTAACTAACCATCAAAGCTTCCTTTATTCCTTTTCCCTCAGAGGAATTTTTTTTCAAAGGAATTTTTTCTTCACTGGTTGTTAAAGAGGGAAAATATTTTAGCAGTTATCTACGGTGCAAAAGTCTATAATAATGGCTGTGAGTCAAATACTACAGGCAGCTTTGTGTTTTAATCACTATCATTAATATTAATAATCTTCCTTATGAATATTGCTATTAATAATAAAAAATGAGTGCCATTCATTTACTAAATGCCCAATGAATGCTCAACAATGTGCTTTTTGCCTTGTCATGGGTGATCTCATTTCCACTTTTACAACTCCAAGGAAGTGCTATGTGCACTCCTACAGGTGAGCAGGCCTAACTTCAAGAGAGGTTAAACCAGCCCAGAACTCAGGATGGATGGCAGAACCTGAGTCCATTTATATCTGACTCCCAAACACACCATGCTCTTTTCACGGTACTATATTGAGTCTGTGCGCGGTATTAAGGTCCTACTCAAAAAAAAAATAACTGTCATGTCACCATCCTTGTAGTCCTTGTGTTCACAATATAGCTCTCCTCCAAAATAAAGCTGTTTTCTAAAGACTAGGTCAGGCTCTTTGTTTGCTGTTGTGCTTTCTTTCCACTATTTGATTTGATTTTTTTTTTTTTTTTTTTTGGCTTTGAATGACCTGTCTCTCTCTCCTTCTCTGCCTCTCTCTCCTTCTCTGTCTCTGTCTGTGTCTCTGTCCTGGAGCCTACATGTGCATTAAATGCAGGTGACCTGCTCTGCTACCTCCTCCTCTCATATTCTTCTAATCCTCCTGTGCATCCTCTTTCTACCTCTTTTTGTTCTGTGTATCTCTTGTAGATAGTGTGTTAAATACTTTACCTTCCCAAGGGACTTGGGAGGATTAATTAGTTGATGTCTATAAAATAACTGGGAATGTAAAATACTCCCAGGTAGTTCTTTATGATGATATTATTCCTTTTTAAATTCAATGGCTTCTTCTGTCCTCCAAACTGTTTTTTGTGTCATTATCCCCATTCTGCCTTGTGCTGTTGAGTGTTGCTCTCTTATCCTGAAATGCTTTATGAGACTGTATTTGAAAGATGTTTCATAAAGTAAATTTGATGAAATTAAATGATGGCTTTTTTGTTGCAGGAAGAAAGGATTTGATATTAAATGGGTGGATGATACACATGCCCTCGGAGTATTTTCCAGTCCGATTACAGGTATTACCCAATAGATTTCAGTGTTATTTTAATTGTCTATTTTCCTCTGCTACTTGTCCTTATTTCCCTTTTTCCCAGCCAACTGGTATTTTATTCACCTAGTATAAGTAAATTGGCAGATACAGGTTTTTGAGGCATGGTGTTTTGGTACCCATGTGTTTCCCTTCTCACCTTAATCTAGTTAGTGGTGTTTTGAGAAATAGGTTGTTTCAAGGTTATTTGCTGCATAACGGTCAGTTATAATAGTACATGAACAGATTATAAGTAGAGATTTAAAAAGTCTATGTGACTAAATTTTACAGTATTTAAGATTTTTTTCCTCAGACACATGAATTTGTAGTAGCCCTTTAACCTATCCAGTGAGAGGTTGTACTACCTACTTTCTGAATATATGATTGGGCCTTTTCACATATATTATTGCCCTGATGATAGATGTGATACAGAGGCATTCAGAGAAATTAGAGATTTTATAATCCTGTCTGAACCACGTAGAATAGAGCTCTGCAAACCTACTCTCTAAAGGCCCAGATAATAAATATTTTAGGGCATATGATCTCTTTCACAATTTAACTCTGCTGTTGTATGCAAGAAAGCAGCCATAGACGTATGAAAACAAATGGTCATGGTTCTGTTTCAGTAAAACTCTATTTACAAAATCAGGTGGTTGGTTGGATATGATCACAGAGCCATCATTTGTTGATCCCTGATCTAAAATAATCACTGCCAGGTTGTTCCTTACAGATTTTCTAGATATTATTATCTCCTTTGCTTGTACAAAAGAAAGAAAAGCATAACATCTGGGGAATGCTTTCTAAAAACTAGTGTTAAATTTTTCTTTGCATCTTTCTTCTTCATGTCTTCTACTTCCTTACCTTTATTCCTCTTTGTAGCTCGTGATGCTTTGGGTAGTAAACATACCATGGTGAAGATCCGACCCTTGTCACAGGCCACAAGAGCAGCCAAGGCCAAAGCTAGAGCTTATGCTGGTGAGCCTATAATCCCTGGTGGAGGGTGGAGGGGTCTTGTTGACATTAGTGTTATTGTTTTTTTTAGCACTTTGTACAGCATCCAGAGTAGTAAAGACATAATAATCACTTTTATTTTTAGTGTTAATGAGAGTATGTTTTTAAAGAAAAAATATAGAAAAGGCTGAGTAAGTTATGTAGCATCAGAGTAGCCACTTGGAAAGAATGGGAGATGCTAACTTTAAGCTATGCAGCAGTCATTTTCTGATGACATCCTTATCTACTCTCTACCTCTGTGTTTAGCTGTTTGATAAGAGTCACTGGAAGAAATTGTGTTAAGACAGATAAAGAAGCTGGGGTTGTTTGTGCTTTGCCATGTTAATTTCCTCTGATCATCTATCAGGCCCTATTAATTACTGCTGATGCAGCCTTTGGTAGTCTATTTTGTATGTTAATTACTGAGTTAAATCACTTAGAGCTAGAGTGCTTTCTCTTCCTTACTCCTTCCTACTCCCTCCCTTTCTCCCATTCAGAGTTCCTCCAGCCAGCAAAGGAGCGTCCTGAGACTTCTGCTGCCTTAGCCAGAAGGCTAGTCATCAGTGCCCTTGGGGTTCGAAGTAAGCAGAGCAAAACTGAACGGGAAGCCGAGCTCAAGAAACTACAAGAAGCCCGAGGTGAGTAGAAGTGATGGCTTTCTTCTTCTCAAGTCCCTTTAAGAGCTCACTTTAAGGTATGTGGTTAAAAAAAAAAAAAAAGATGAAGCTCATTTCATTTTTGTCATTTCCATGTCCTAGACGCCTCCAAGTATATTGAAATTGTCTGCCTGTTCCACACACCAAGGCATCTTAATCCACTTACCTACTGTTATTTTCCGAGATAGGTTCAGTGTCCTCAGCTCATCCATGGCTTTTTCTATAGTTCTTGCTCCAAACGCTGAGAAAAATTTTCCTGTGAAAACATGATAGTCTTCTAGGTAGAGAATATTATTTGCTTTGGTTTTTCTGGGCCATGATTACCACAGTATTATCAAACAGTTTAGATCTTAAGTAGAAGACAAATTAAGGAAAAGCCAGCCACTGACATTGATGATGATAACTGTAGCAGGTACTTTTTTTGTAAAGACAGCCCTGAGTGGCTCCATTAGAGTACATCTAGATTAACCTAGCTTCTGATTATTTTTCAGTACCTAAGAGTTTCCAGAAAATATTTCAACTGATCCACAAGTAGGATTTGTCTTTCTCTATAGTTTGGAGCTCAGGTTAAAATCTCTCTGTCCCTATGATAGGCTGTTGACTTGTTTGTAAAGGCTTGGAACTCCAGCTTTGTACTTAAGTACTTTTTATCAGCCTTCAGGCTTTAGACAGTCTCATTGCCTTAGCCTACAATCTATGGAATCTGTGAAGACAATTTATTCTGAAAATTCCACTTACTGAAAAGTAACCTCATTTTTCCATTAAATGAATTGAAGTTTCAAACTCCTTGTTTATTGCCAGTCTAACAAGGCCATTAATACTTTCTGTCCACTCTGTTTTGGTGATAGCAGGCAGCTTGCAGACTCTCAGCTGCACTAGCCAGATAACCAGTGACAGAGTGTGTCATGGCAGGTGCTAGAGTTTCAGAGTAGAACCCAGCTAATTTTTGAAACCTTAATGATTATAATGAGGCAGTTTTGATTTTTCCAATGCATGGTTCACTCAAAGGCATCTTATAGACTATAGAAACAGGATTTATCTGCTTTTTATAGATGGCAATAACGGAATTAGACTAAAGGAGAATATGCCATGTCCTTAACCCTTTATTAATTGGTTGTCTTTGAAGAAAATGCTTTCTCTATGATAGCCACAATTATCTCAAAGGATTAGTAGAGGATAATAATAGTGGTATCTATAGAAGCATGTATGACTCTTACCAGTGTATCATGCTTTCCTACATATCTACAGATTCTGCAGCAGTAGTTTTGCATGGGTATCATCTGAGTATTCCCCTCTATTTCCCTGTAGGCACATCAGCATGCACCTTCACTTGAAATATTTGTTTTAAGTACCCAGCTATATGAAGGACATTTCAGTGATGCAATTAAAAATGAGAAGTGTTGGCTAAGTGGGTACCCTTACCTACTTTTAAATGAAGGCCTTTAGTTGTGACTAGAGACCCACTGTGATAAGTTCCTACTATTCATTGGTGCTGAGGCTATACAGATTATAGGGGATTTTTTATTATGCTTCAGAGCTTTCCCATTCTTCATATCTGAGAAAATATATATGGAAAGTTTCTGATTTGTCTTTTCTGGCTTCTTTATGTACAAAGCCAGATACTCTGGTACCTGCCTGCATGGGCCCCACGGCTTCTCAATGTGGCATTTTTTTTTTTTCCCTGTGAAAATTAGAAGGACTGTTTAGGTGTTAAGCAGAACAGATATTGTTGTTCCAGACCTTCTTCCACTAGAGCGGGCAGAATCAGTACAGCATAGTGGTTCACATTGTAGACTCTGGTATCAGACTTCCTGGGTCCATGTCTTAGCCCTGCTGTTTACTGGCTGTGTCACCTTGGGCAAATTAGTTACTCTCGGGAGACCTCTGTTTCCTCATCCATAAAATGGAAATCAAGTGAGATAATACATGGAAGATACTTAGTCATCTTCAAAAACCATAGGAATGCTCTTCCTTCTGTTTCTAGAGGGGCTATAACTAATATGTGATAAATGTTAGCTACTGCCGTTTTTATTAGTAATAGAGATATTACATGGTGAGTCCAGGGCACATTTTTTGTCATTATTCTTTTTATTTTAAATTTCATATAATATGCTATCAACTACATTTGGCATTCACTGAGCATCTGTCCTGTGTAAAGCATTATGATCCCTGTTTAGGAAAATTAGATACTTTGTTCCTCTTCTTAAGACTTACAAGCTAGCGGAGATATCTTAATAAGGAAGAATATGAACTTGTTATTTTAAGCAATTGTTTCTCTTCTCACTTCAGTTCTGGGGATTTTAAGATTAAAAGCCATGGCAAGGTTTTTGTTGATTAAAAGGATTGGAAGGAAATTCCAGGTAATGTAACATGTTATATAACTCTGTGATGGATGGTATTATCTCGTTTAGAGCTGGCCCAGAGGAGTAACTGGCCGAAGGTCACCCAGCATTTGAACCTAGGCCTCTCTAATTAAAACCCATGCTCCTTCTATTATCCTGTAATCTCTCTTGAAGGATTTTGGGGCAATTAAAATTTTTTTCCCAGGAAAAAATACAGAGAAAATGTTAAGGCCTTCAGAAAATAAAATATGACAGGCTTCCTTGTTATCTTTTTCAATGGTTAGCAGTTTTCACTGTCAGAAAATTCTTCCTTAGGTCTAACTTAAATCTTTATGATGTTGGGTTGACCAAAAAGTTCATTTAGTTTTTTCTGTAAAATAAAAGACACATTTTTACCAATAACATCATTGATTTGGGTATTTTGAGTATGTTGGCTATCTCCTGTGTGGTAGGACATTGATTGTTCTCAATTAATGTCTCAGTTTGATCACTATCAAAACTTCAGCTGTTCTGCCCCAGCTGTGGAGCATCATCCAGCGAGAAACCTCCAGCATGAAACTTCACAAACCACTTTAGACACAGTCAGTCAGTCACAACACCTTCCCCATATACTGCACAAATCTGTGTGTGTGTGTGTGTGTGTGTGTGTGTGTGTTTCAGCTGTGTTTTTGCCTTTCTTCAAATAATAAAACATAATATGCTGAAAATGTTGTGTATATTCTCCCATCTTCAGTATTAACATGGCTACACAAAAATTCACCAGTTTCGATGTTTTTAAAACTTTTTGGATTATAAATGATAAGTTTTTTTAAATGCACGCTGATATGACAGTTGTCACAATACTATCTCACAAAATTGTTTCAAGTGAAGTTAAAGATAACTAAGTGCTACTAGAGCCATGTTACCGAAACAACCCACAAACTAACTTTTTGGCCAACCCAATAGTTGAATCCAGATTTCTCTCAGGGGCAGATCATTTAGGAATGTGGTTTTGACATTAACCAGCTGTGTGGCCATGAGCAAGTCTGTGTGCCCCAGTTTCCAGCAAAATGGCTTAATTAGCCTCGAAGAATTTTTTGAGTACAGTGTAAGTTAACATGTAAAAATGTTTAGAAAAGTACAAATTCAGGAAACTGTTACTTATGTGATTCTTGGGAAATTAGTGTTCATTATAATAACATGAATCAATAATGACAAATATACATTGTACCATATATGTACTGCTGCTCCCCACCCATTCCCCATGACAGACAGTGCAGTCAGTCACGGCATTCTTTCTTGGTGAGTTGTGACTTGACCATTGTTAGTTGATCAGAGTTAGCATGAGAATTGAGATCTCTGTGCCATCTTGATATAGGCACTTCTGTTAATACTGTAGAATAAAAAATAATACTAATACTATAAAATAATCTCCCAGCCTTTCTTTTTCCCCCTTGAAGAGCTCTGATGTCTGGCACAGTGCCTGGTTTATAAAAAGATACTCAACATACATGCATGTTTATTGACTGAATACATGAGTAACATTGGTTACTTTAATTTTTTCTTCATAAATCTTTCTTCATTCATGACTCTACTCTGAACCTGTCCAGTTCTCCATGTGTTTCTTCATAAAATCCAGAGTTGGAACACTTCTTCTGGAACCCTTCTAATTAATGAATTTGGGATTTGTAATTTGGAGGTTAAGCACTTTCCTGCTAAGTTCCTCCACTCTTTTGGTCTTTTTACCTCTTTTAATGAAAAGTCTGTGTCTTAGTTCTTAAAAAGGAAGTTCCGAAAAATAAAACTACTCATGGAAGAATTGAAAAAAATAACATATCCAATTCATTTTAAGCAAATCCTATTGTATATATGTGGAGGATAAGAGCTTTGTTTCATAAACCTTTGAACATGAGGAAAGTATTTTTTAGTCCAGCAGAGTGCATAACAGATCAGAGCTGCACTGAGATGGGAAATGGAAACAGAGATCATCCTTGAGTGCTTTGGGTTTTTTTAATTTTTAGTTTTATTTTTCAGTTAGAGTTGACTTACAATATTATGTTAGTTTCAGATGTACAATATACGGATTAGACATTTATATAACTTACGAAGTGATCACCCAATAAATCTAGTACCCACACATGGTTATTATATTAATATTGATTATATTCCCTATCCTATACTTTTCATCTCTGTGACTGGCAATTTGTACATCTTAATCCCTTCTTTCCCACCCATCCTCCCAAACCCCTTCCCACTTGACACCCATCAAAATGTTTTCACTACATCCTGTGTGCTTTGGATTTGGCTTAATCATGTACTTTAACCCAGTGATTACACTGAATGATAAAACCACTTTTTAAAGACCAAACTCAGGATTTCATGTAAAATTTGCCCACATACCACTTATAAAACACTTGATTCCCACCTGAAATTGGAGATAGATATCATTACTTCTTAGAATAAGCCACCTTCTCATCTTCAAAGCCTGCTATAATTTTATTTCATAACTTAACTCCATTTTACTCTTGGGGATAGGTGATTAAGTGGCTATTCATAAAAGGCCACCTTTTAGGTTACAGGCCTGAAAGACAGAGTAAGTAGACAATAATTTAATCACCCACTTGGATAAATTAAATCACTAAGAACTTAAAAGTAAAATCATCTTTATAGGATAGTCAACTATAACATTAAAAAAAGTAACACAATTGCTACCTTCTGAAATCCTTTTCAGGCATTCCATGATTCTGCCTTTAAAGGCAGTGCTGCATTGCTGACTCATAATCTAGGTCTTGTGCGTTTACTTGGTGTCTTTTCTCCCCTGATATGAAGTTCCCTTCATTTCTAACCATATTGCCTTTCATTTTAATGTGATCTTTTTCTTTGAGATGCATTAATTATCTGTATTTTTTGTATCACCTGTTGTTTAATAAGCTTACGTCTTTGGCCTACATCAGAGTTGACAACGTTAATCTGAGGACTAACTGACCATTTCACCAACTATTGCTTAATAAATAGCACATCGTTCTTTGTGATGATACTTAATACACTGATAATCAGTCCACTCTCCAGAGTTATATGCCCTCCAACACTTAGGTGATCCAGACTTCATTTTCCCACAATATTAGTGATGATATAAACACTTTGTAAGCCTAAAAATCTAAAACCTTGCTAACATTAAGAGGTTACTTATTACTTGTCCTTGATCTACGACATCTGTCAACCTATAAAAAAAGACAATTAGATTAATTTGACCAGACTTGTGCTTCAAGTCTTCATATTGGTTATTACTTTGTAGGTAGATGTGAATAGATTTTGTGATGATTTTCTCCATTATTAGGTGTAGAAGTAAATTTTGAACATTGTAATTTACATTTTTTCTTTATTTTTTTCAAACATGACACCAAACTGGCCCTCTTTTAATCTTCAATACTTTCTGTTCCCTGAGTGAGAAGTGGTGATTTCAGTCAACTCATTTTATATAATCATTTCTGCCTATTTATTATACTGGGAGAAATGAAAGTTTTCAGGGCTGATTATATGAGTGCTTTAGGTTTATCATTTCATACTAATTCTTCTGTTCCTTGGTTCCTTGTCCTTATGGCTGCTGTTGAGCTATTTCATTTACTTTCTTTAATGGTTGGAGGTAAAGTTAGTAAGAGCTTTTTTTCATGCAGTCTGTTAGCTATTTGCCTTCCTTTCCATTTCGTACAGGGACAGCATGTTTGTTCATCTTTCTGTCATTATGTGCTTTTTCTCCTCACCTTTCCCCCCCTTTTCTTTGTAGATGTTTTCAGATGTCAGAATAGTGGATAGTATAGTAGTTTAAGAGTTATGGATCTGGGTTCCAGCTTCAGTTTTTCACTGATTATGTAACCTTAGGCAAGTCACTTAACCTGCCTCCAAGCTTCCATTTTCTTTAAAATGAAGAAAATACTTTGGTTTTACCCTAACTTATTTAATTTTTTATTCTATTCATGTTCTGTATTTCTAAATTTATACCTCACATTTTCACTATTTCTTTGTGCTTCTCAGTTTGTCTCCCTGATCTTACTGGTTATCTCATACGGTTTACAGCCAGAATCTCTTCTTACAGTTGTATTTGGTAATAGAGATCTGTAGTCTTTTAGTAGAAAGCATTTGGGTAGGGAACGTTTCAGAGTTTTCAAATTTTCTAATTTTAGAAAGATTACATGGTTATCTTGATACTTGTTCCGTAACACCAAACTCAAACACATTAACATGGTATTTCTGCAGCAGAGTGTATGACTAGTCACTCTAAATGGTGTGTGTGAAGACTATTCACATCCTTTCATGTTTTGGGTTATATTTTCCTCCAAATGAGTGTTGGCCCAAACCTTAAAAAAGAATTGTTTGCAGAACGCCTTTGATTTCAGATTGTGGATTATGGGCCACTCTTCCCATATTGCCTTTCTGATTTGAGTTTTCTGAGTTTATTGAAAACTTTGAGTGCTAATAATTCACTATTCTCATTTCTTCACTTCTTAGAATCCAGAACCAGTGTTTGATTGCTTTCATCTAAGTGTGCCTTTGTCTTTAGAAACCTTCCTAACTTTCCTGTTTGTGAGAATCAGAATCACAGTGTCTTCCTAAGAGATGAGTTGTTTCCTGGAGAATCCCAACCCAGCTCCAGTCCATCTGAAAGCCAAATCTCAGGACACTGAATTACCTTGCCTTCAGTTTGGAATTTACTGATTCCCATTTTTGCCATTTTGCTGCTGTATTCTGATCATGCCACAAGATGGTGCCCAAATAGCAGTGAATTTCTCTGTCTTACATGTACAAGTGCCAGTCAGCTTCCTAACAAAGTTCTTTGCCCTTAAAGTACAGTTAAATATAGTAAGGAATTTTATAAGGGATTCTGCTGATTTGAAAAAGATATGTCAAAGTAGCAAGTGTTAATTCTAAACTCACCTTAATTTCTATAATCTCCCTGGTTTATGACTTGCACATCTTTACAGACGTTATCTGAAATAATAATACCCCTTGGAAGGAAACTTGGGCTTATCTACATTTTATGGTGTCAGGACAAATGACAAACCATGAAATTAGAACTGGTATGTGGCACCAAATGAAGTGTTTGGGCCACCAAACTCTGTATGGTCTGTATTTTCTCACTTCTTGGTGAAAGTGTTAAATAGAAATCAAACTTCTAAAAATTGAAGATGGATTGCCCAGATTTGTGCATTTTTTATTTTTAGAAATAGTCATTTGTTTCCCTTCATTATATGCAGTCATTTTTCCATGTTGAGATTGTGTATTCCAGAAGATTTCTGGCTCCTGAAAGTGTTCTGAAAATACTGAAATTCAGTTTGCCTCTGAAATGTTTTTTCCATAAGATCGTAGTAACATTTCCACTTAACAAAGCACTTGGAAAGTCAAAGATATTAACTCTTGGAATCCAGTTAGAGAAGACCAGGAAATTCAGCTATCTCATGATTAAACTTGTCTTGTAATTTGGATTAAGGAAAAGTCACTGGTTATATGAAGTATACTACCACTTTTAACATTGCCCTAATTTACAGAGAGAAAACGGTTGGAAGCCAAGCAACGAGAAGACATCTGGGAAGGCAGAGACCACTCTGCAGTTTGAACGTCAATCAGTGAAAGGGATAATTCCATGAATTCAGAAAATATTTCAATAGTCTTCAAGATAAGAAGATCCTTCCAGAATTCTGTGTACATGCAGATGTGCTTGTTAACGAAAGAGATGAAGTGATCAAGACAAGGACTGACTGGTGTAGAAAGAAGACAGAATCCCTTCTGTCTTCATCCCTGAATGCAGTTCTTGGGCAGCACCTTACTGTGTTGGGCAGAGAAGGGAGCCGTCAGCTGGGAAGAAACTTGGGAAATGTTACTTCCAGGAGTTCTCTGGACAGGGCGAGTCATGTTAGCATGAGTCACACTTCCAAGCTGTTTTAAGCAAATACGAGACAGAGGATTCAAACCTATGATGATGGGAGATTTAGGCCCTGCAAGACCAGGGTGTTCTTTAGTACCTCACAAAGCTGAGAAAAACCATATTGAGGAGGGGGTGGTGAGAGCAGCTAGTCCAAAGAGGCAGTATCTGGTATATTTGGGACTCACAGAATCTACACTGCCAGTTCCAGAGCTCCAAACCTGGTGACCTACAGCAGATGTGGGTATTTGGACTACAGAGTTTGTACTGAGCTAGCTGAGTGTCCGGGGCTGCACAGCAGCCAGGGATGTGCCAGCTTCGTTCCTCATAGGAAGCCAGTCTTGGGAGCCATGTGTCAGTTCCAGTTTAAGCAGTGCTATCATGTTGTAAGAGGAGACATTAAAGTCCATTTTGACCTAGATCACTCTGGTGTTTGTCAGTTTTCTTATTCCCACAAAGAAATTGGAGAGCAGCTCTCATTTTCATCCTTCTAATACTGTGCGTGGGTTCAGTGGATCTGTTGATTTTATTGAACCCCACTGAACAGAGAGTTGATCATCTCTCTACCCTAGAGTATACCACAAAAGCGCCTCTCCTAGGATTGGTATGTGGCAGCTTCTTTTCCCTTCTTGCCCTTCTTGTGCGCCACCACCCCAGCCTCTTGCCTTTTCCATTTCTGTTAAATCTGACATCCTGCAGAAGTAATCTGGCATACCACATGTTCTTGGTATGATCTCAGCCTCTGCCAGAGGCACTTGGCAAGCAACACCAGACCATCCTTTACAATGGAAAGCAGCCAAAATAAAACAAACACCTCTGGGCAGTGAGAGATTTCCTCCTAGAGGACATGGACAAGTCAGCTGTCATCTCAGGCTTTACCCATTTCATATCTGCATTCCCAGTGTTATTGGAAAGTAATTCCGCACTGAGGAAATGATAGTGCTTAGGCCTTAAGATGCTGAGGTAGCAAGAAACAGTGTTTCATTGTGCTTTCAAGTGAGGCAATAGCCTCATTTTTGTATGATTTAGTGCCTGTGACAATGATGGATTATTAGCATTGCCTAGAACATGGTGGAGTGGGGCTTTTTTCAAACATTTCTCAAATGACATTGGCCTTGGGTCTTAGTCCTGACACAACTATCCCTGCTGCTATTCTGGTCTTGGAGGCCTCTTACAGGTCCTCAGCATTGTTTCTCTCAGTCTTGATCAGTTCTGAGTCTCCCTTGTTTATGTTCAGTGCCTCCAATCCAAGTTTGGGGGATTAAATAAGTCCTTCCCTTGACCCTCTGTCCCAGTACTTAGACCAGCGCCCCTGTCTTTGGCTTGTAGCTGTACAACCTGTGCTCTCTGTCTTCACTGAACAGACTTCTCTAAGATCGATCTGTTGGAACAATATGGCTGCATTTGAAAGGAAATGCAAGGAAGTGTAGCCAGGCTTCTTACTGAATGGTATGGCTCTGAGGAATATCTTTGCTCTGTGTTGATTCTTCAAGGCTGAGTGACCTTGGTCAGTGAAAAAGAGATGATTGCCCCTATTACTTGCCTTTGAGGGTGCTCCCCCTTTCTGACATTTTAGCTTTTAAGAGCATTATTAACAGTAATATATTGCCCCATGTTCATTGCCAGTGTTCTTATAGTCCTTATAATTTCTAGAAATAACTTTTGTTTTCATTCTAATACTTCTCACTAGGTGGCTAGTAGCTTGTGTGTGTTTCCAGCTAACAATTAGCCACCTATTTCAGATTTATCCTTATAATGAGATCCAGAGAAAGTGGGTATGTGTATGTGTGTGTTTTGCCAGTATTGAAAGCCATGCAGTGCTGCTGCTTCTGCCATTAGTAGAGAATGTACTTTTTAGTTATCTTTTTCTAGTAGTTGGGATTGCTGGATACTGGCTAGAGGTAAGAGGACCTTCCATGGCCCAGCATGGACTACACTGAGCTTGTCCAGATGGAAATCAGATCTTTGACCACATCTAAGCCATGCCTTCACAAGCTGAGCTAACTGGAGAGTACCCTGTAGCTGCCACTGGCTCCTCTGTTAGATGTTTGAGAAGATGAGAAGACATAATACACTTTGCTCTGCATATATATTGCTTCATATATGTTGAATGTCTGAATCCAGGATTACCTGGAATTTATAGTAGAAAGTCTTTGTAAAATAGAAATAAATTAGGCTTCTGAAGAATATGCTGAAGTTCCTAGCACTTTAGTTTTACTGAGACTAAAGTATGCTGAGGTGAAAATCTTGTGACATTTTTGGTTCTGTCTGGAATTTGGTGGTTGGTATTCTGTTAACATTCCTCATCTAGTTACAAGTCATGCCAGCCACCAGTCTTCCCATGCCCTTCCCTTTCAACTCGGAGGTGTAACAGCACAACCCTTGTATAGTTTTTTTCTAAGAATTAGAACTGGCTGCTCCTATCAGACATGTGATGTGGGCAGCAAGACTGAGACCAGAGCTGGTGGCCAGCTGCCTAGCCTGCTTTCGTAGCCCTCTTGGAAACTGGATCCAGCAAGAAGCTGTGGGTAACCTCCCTGCCTCAACCTAGTCATCAGTCACCACATGCTCCCCCACTAGCTGCACATTCTTTCACAGACCATTAGCTGCATGTGCAAGTATAATGTTGTTACTGTTTGGGAGATGCTTGCTGGCTCCAACAGGAAATCAGTCCTTCCCTTGTTTACCTAAACTGCTGTGCCAAGATATAATGCTCCCTCTACCTAATGAAGGAGATGAGGGAGTTGAAAGAGAGAAGGTAGAGAGAAGAAGGAAGAAAGCACTTTTTTATATTCATAGAACATACCCCAGAGCATGCCCGTTTTTTACTAAGGAGGGGCTAGTGCTCGTGGTGTGGGGAGAGAGCGCTATTGTAGATGTGCTTCGTCTGCTCCCATTCATTTTGACTTTGCAACCTTGGTTATAAAAGTTTACAGTCCTTGGACTTTATTTCTGGCCTCCTACCTTTCATCCCTTAACCTTTCCAACCTGTGTTTCAGCACTGAGCCTGGGGAAAGAACTGGGAGGCAGACAGGCAGTAGGCTCCTGTCTGATCAGAGAAGTGTAGTGGGGCTGCATGTGCATCCTGGCATCCTAGTCACCAGCTCAGTGGGAGTGAAAGGGGTGAAGTTGGTGCGCTGGGCACTGCAAAGAATCAAAGCTAGTCTTTTTCAATCCATAATGAGCAACCTTTATTGGCACTGGGGTGTCAGACCTGTAAGGATCATCTCTTAAGTGTGTCTAAGTAGAGAAAAGATTAAGAATCATGTCCAGGAAGACCATAGGATTTTATACTGCCTGAGCAAAAGCATATCACAGTCGCATCAAGAAGGGATGGTGGCCTTTCCTAGGTTTAGTCCCTAACTAAATTAAATACTCCCCTACAGCTTACTGTCCCCCCCTCTCTCTGACCTGTCTTCTTACACCTACAGAGGTGAGCAGCTTGTGTGACCAATGTTCTTTCCATTGTTAAAATTTATTCAATGCAAAGTTCACTTCAGGAACTAGGTCGAGCCCTGAAATTTAGGCCAATCCTGAAATGCACAGTGATCTTGAGGGGATATTTTGGGGGCTATTAGGTATATGGCACATAGTTTTTATTGTTTTGGCAGAGGCCTTGTCAGGGGCTATGGTCCGTATTACCCAACAGTCTTTCTCCTTGACCTCTTGCTGCTCTGCAGGAAGGCCCTATCTGGCCACCTCTGCAAATTTGCCCCCTCTTAAGCACTTAGTAATTGGTGGTGTTGGCCCACCAGGAGATAAAGGGATGCCTAAGGCCTAAGCTTCCAGGGATATTAGAAACACCCTTATATGCAGTAGGATTAAGGTAAGGGCACTACAGAATAGAAAGAGAATATGACAGGTGAATTCTAAATGAGGACAGATCAAGCAAGGGAATGAATTCACAAACTTCTCTGCCAGTTGTGACTTTGACACAAGTTTTGTTGCTTTGATCTTGCACAGAGCTAATTCCACCTCCTCTGTATGGGTCCTGTCTTCTACTCCTCCAGGACCTTTGCAAAGCACCCTTTAGATGGTGGACTGGGCCATCCATCCCTAAGGAACTGATTGCTCCGGAACCAGGAACTCTGGGGCAAAATCCAAGAAAGACTGGGTCTCTTTAGGAAGAAGAGCTTAGCTGAACAAAGCCTGGAGGTCATAATCTGTAAACCAAAGGCCCTTAGGGGACAGGCCTAGAGCCATCCCAAGGGAGCAATACCATCGTGGTACGGTGATCTTGCCATCAAAAGGCTTCCTGAGCAGTTCTTGGTGCCCCTTGGCACTGACCCCTTTCCCTCTGAGTTAGGGTTCTGTAAAGGGCATGGCTCCAATAAGCTGAGGTATCTGATGTGTGGGCAGCAGCTGGGAGTGTGCAGTGATGGCTTCAGATGAGGTTGTTCCTGAGACGCTGCTCCTGCTCCAGGGAGAGCTCTGCATTGGCTCTATATGAATCCCCTGTGGCCAAAGGAAAGCAGGTAAGTAGCCAACCCTACCACAGTCTCATCCCTTCCCTGACAACTTCACAGAAAAAAGAGAGAGACATCCTGCTGAGCTCTTCCCTTACATCGGGTCTGTCATGGGCACAGATCCTGACTGGTGTGTAGTTTCAGGGACATCAGGAAGAATAGGCTATTGGGTAGAAACAGAATAGGACTATTGGGTGCTCTCCTCTGCTCCCTCCAGGTTCATTCTCTATCCTGATTTGTCCTTTTTGTGCCCTGGAGAACTAAACTGTGCCCTAGATTGCCTCACGCTGGCTCCTTCATCTTGGGTTTCTGGTTGATTTGGGTCAATGGGAAGCAACAGCAAGAGATTGCAGGGTGGAAGGAGAGAGAGGTTGGGGTCTTCTGTTCTGGCAGTGATGGTCTACTTTAACCCCAGGCCAGGCTCTCCCTCACAGCTCTAGCTTTCATCTGACCCCAGGACACCCTCTGCCCCCTTAAGCCTAAAGGTAAAAACAGTTTTCCATTCTTGGGTGTCTCAACACCTTTTACTTCCTTAGTCTCACTTGCATCTCTGTAAATAGTCCATTTATTAAATAACTCAGACTCTTATCCAAGTGTGCTGTCTGTTTTCTGCAAAGACCCTGACGGGTTAGAACTGCATTGTTTTTCTTTCCCTCCTCACTGTCCTGGATTCCGTGCAGCATGCTGCCAGCATTGTGGAGGGTCTGCTGTCTCCTTACGTGCAGCCTCAGATTCCAATTCCTGATTCCTCTCATATTCCTGTCTCATTGAATGACAGCGAAATCTACTCAGTCACACAAATTTCTAACCTTAAGACTATTCTGCCTTTTCTCATCATCTGTCTGTTACCACAGTTATCTCTTGAAACATAAATTTCATGTTTTTGCTCCCTTAACTGTAATTTATCAATGGTTCCCAGAAGCCCACAGGATAGAATCTATTCTCTTAGCAAAACCCATCATAACCCTCTCTGCAAACAACCTTAGTGGGTTTGAAGTGCAATAGAGAAAAATGCTGAGGTTGAGATTTCTTCACTGTCTTACAGCTAGGAAGTGGTTGGAGTTGAACCTGGAAGCCAGTGAAGCCTTTTGAAGCCAAATCCTATGGTCTTTCTCTTCCCTTCTCTGACTTTGTCTCTCCTTTGAAATCCAGCTCAGCTGCCACTTCCTTCATGTGGTTACTTTCTGTCTCTGCTTGCTCAGCATTATAGTTCATCCCAGTTTGGGGTACTCAGTAGTACTGGGGTTATCCATTTGCATGTCTGCTTACCCTACTGGACAGTGAGCTGTGCATTGCACTCCTGTTTCATTCCTACTGCCTGGCTCAGTGTTCAACACAGAAGTTGGTCTTAATAAATGTTTGTTGACTGAATAAACAAGTTTGTCTCACCCCACATGCACCAAGTATGGATGTGAACACAGTGCATAGCACATACAAACATTTTTAAACTTAAAGATGGAGGAATTGCTACCTTTCTTTATAGATAAGTAGAGCAACGACCTCCTTACTCTGCCCCCACTGGATCACTGCTTCCTCTTTTGTCTGATGCTGCCACTCCCACAAGTGTCCTGAGCCCTGTTCTCCGTGGTCCCCCTCCTGCAAGCAGCGATCACAGCTGGAGACAGCAACACGGATCTGGGGGACTTGTACTTTTGCCTGTGAGGCAGTCAGCTTAGAATGAAGGCAACTAAGAAAGACCATGGGAAAGGGAAGGAAAAAATTACCAAATGGACAAGGGAAATCCTGACATGGCTTGAAGTAACAGGAAAGACCCTAGGAATGATGGGAAACTGAGTTTACAATCCAAACAGCCCTAAGGACAAAAGGATAAAGAAGTGGCTGCTATTGGGTGAGGCTTGATAGTCTGATCAGTATGTTCTGAAAATCCTACTGGGAAGATGTCACACCTATCCTTTTACACACACCTTCAAGTCATACATGTGTACACTTAGAGTCTTCCAGCTTCCCAAGCCCATACAGGGCCGGTCCCGTAGTGGCTCACATTTACCTGTGTGGCAGTTGTGCAGCCAGACCCGCTGCCCGTCATACTTGCAGCGGCACTGCATCATGTTGTTGGAGAAGTCTGACTCGGCCACCTCATATTTGGGATTCACAACCACCTGGAACAAGAGGAGGGGACAACTGAAAACAGGTGCTCTGACTTCTGAATGAGTTTATAGTGACTGTAATAATCCTTTACATTTTGTGTAGTCCTACAAAGCATGCTTGCTTCATTAATCCTTGTAGTCAACCCAGGAGGTAGGCCTTAATGGCCCTCTTCTACAGATGGGGACTGAGAAGCTATGACCATCTACTGCCCATTCAATCAGGACTCAAACCCAGGTTCTCTGGGTCCTGATTCAGTATTCTTTCCCCTACAGCACACATTGCTCCTTCAAGTGCCAGACCTGTTGGAGACCCTGACCTTATGTACTCTTCCTTCATTTGACCTCAGGGAAGTTTCTGGAACATTGGAAGGAAATAGAGTGTCTCTGTGGAGAGTCCCTATAACCCCCCTTACCTGAAAAATATAGTCCCCAGGGCCCACATCCGTGATATCCACCCACTGGCAATCAATGTCATGCCGGTAGGTGTCCCAGCAGCCAACGGTCACTCCCTGTTCTCCGAAGTTGGCACATGCATAGCGCCGCTGCAGTCCTGTACGGAAGAGTACTGAGTTATTGAGGCACTGGTTTAGGTATTCGGGACCAAGCACTCTGCTAAGTCATTCATGTACTTCATCATTTATTCTTCTGACCAGCCTTACCAATCGGACCCTACATGCAATCAGATTAGGGACCTGAGGTTTTGCTGTGTATAATGTATACTTTTGCCCAAATTTTTTGAGGGAAAAATAAGGATGCACATTATTTATGGCTATGATGGTTACAAAACATAGATGTAATAATTCTGTGTGTAAGCCCTGGCTGGTGTAGCTCAGTGGATTGAGCACGGGCTGTGAACCAAAGCATTGCAGGTTCAATTCCCAGTCAGGGCACATGCCTGGGTTGCAGGCCACGGCCTCTGGCAACTGCACATTGATGTTTCTCTCTCTCTCTCTTTCTCCCTCCCTTCCCTCTCTAAAAATAAATAAGATCTTTTAAAAAATCCTATAAATATAAAAATATTTTTTTAAGATTTCATTTATTTATTTTTAGAGAGGGAAGGGAGGGAGAAAGAGAGAAACATCAATGTGCGGTTGCTGGGGGTTATGGCCTGCAACCCAGGCATGTACCCTGACTGGGAATCGAACCTGCAACACTGGTTCGCAGCCCACGCTCAATCCACTGAGCTATGGCAGCCAGGGCTTAAAAATATTTAAAAAATAATAATAACTCTGTGTGTAATGCACACAAAAATGTGGGTGCACATTATACATGGGAGTGCATTGTACATGGCAAAATACAGTAAATAACCTGCCTCGGCATCAGAGCCAGAATTCCTACTGACCATGAATCCAGCACTGTAACAAAACCCATCTGTGACAGGTTATTTCTTTGCATGCTCTCAGGGATGTCCAACCTCTTGGTGTCCCTGTGCCATACTGGAAGAAGAGTTGTCTTGAGCCACACATTAAATACATTGGGACACATCATCACACAACAATCTCATAATATTTTAAGTAAATCCATGATTTTGTGTTGGGTCGCATTCACAGTCATCCTGGGCTGCATGCGGTCCGCAGGCCACAGGTTGGACACCCCTGCTGTAGTGGAAATCCTTGTAGGCCTAGGAAATGTAGGGAAGATTCCAGCTCTTCTGTGCTGATACATTTGTCTGTCCGTCCATCCATCTAGCCCTCTAAGGAGGCAGTATTTACTGTGCCATCCCTAAGGGCTAGGAATTGTGGGTGTGCAAATTGGAATCAGTTTATGCCTTCAAAGGATATAGCAGAGATCAGATGGGTCTGCAACTATTATCCAAAGTATAGAAGACTTAAACATTTTAAAACCAGTTTAAAGTGTGTCGGGAATGTAGCCCCGGCTGGTGTGACTCAGTTGTTAGAGTGCCAGCCTGCAAACCAAAAAGTCACCAGATTGATTCCCAGTCAGAGCACATGCCCGGGTTGTGGGCCAGGTCCCTCGAGAGGGGCACACGAGAGGCAACCACACATCAATGTTTCTCTCCCTCTCTTTCTCCCTCCCTTCCCCTCTCTAAAAATAAAAAAAAATCTTTTTTTAAGTCTGTTGGGAATGTAGAGGAAGTATTTAGAGACCTTCCACCTAAGATCTCATAAGGTAAAATATTGATCTTTTTGCATTGCCCTGAGTGCTGTTTGTTAGTTGCCAAGCCAGAGTCTCCAGGTGCCAAGGGTTATTGAGAAAGGCAGAGAGGACCCCAAAGGGGTGAGGAATATAACATGGGAAGGATATGCTGACAGGAAATGACATACCTGTGGGGCAGTTTGTGTCCTCTAGGCAGAAGCTGGCCTTGTGCCCTTCAGCCACCTTGGAGCCATTGAGAGTGAGTAGATCATAGTGGGTGAAGACCTCGATGCTGTGGTAGTGCCTGCAGAAGAGGCAGAGCCGTCAGTCTGGCAACAAGAGATCATCCTCTCTGGAGAAGTTCACAGGGAAGATTGAGGCACTAGGCCCCATCATTACCCAGAGGAGAATGTTATAATAGCAGGGCAGTGCCCGTCTGTCAAACCCAAGATTAGTGACCTATGGCCTACTTCCTGGCTCCCCTACCCAGCAGCAAGGCACAGCCTCCCCATCACCTAGGGTCTTAATCCAGGTGAGAAGTGAAGGCTCTGTCCCGGCAGCCTCCAGCAGGCTGGTGCCTGGACTCAGGGCCTAAATGGGAGGTGGAAGGAAGGGGCACTTGTAGGGACCAGCCTAGAAGCTGAGCTGCTGAGGAGGGTGCTTACTCTGTTCCCTGTCAGCCTGGGAAATTGCTACCATTGTTTCCAATCCAGTTCTAATGACAACTCTGTTCATGCTATAGGGAAGGGTGCTTATTATCTCAGCAAGGCCAAGTCCCAGAGTCACTGCCCATTCCTCTCAGCTTTCCCGCCCACGGCTGTGTCCTAAAGAAAACCACCATTTTTCTCTTCTGCCTTTGTCACAGGCATTGTCTCTCCTTCTGTCTGGGCTGGGCACTCCTGGTAGGAGAGAACGCTCAGTGTCTCCTTTTAGTACCAGTGTTCACACTCTCCTTTGAGGACCTTGCTTTTGCAGCTGCAGAAACCAGCAAGCTTTTCCTGCAGAGCCAGCATCCGGATTGGGATATCTAAAGACAAGGCCTAAAGTTCAACATAGAAAAATCCAGTATCATTCTGACAGAGACCAGTTCTGCTGGCGGCAACTGCTGTGTTGGATGTCACTGTGGGAAATGGACCCCATGAGCACCATCAGCATGGGAACATCCAGGGTCAGTGAGAGCAGTGCACAGGGCAAGCTGGTGTCACTGGGACTCCCCATTGCCTCCTGAGTGCACACCCCTCCCGGGAAGGTGTGCCCGAGGCCAGAAAAAATCAGGCTGGCCTGGCCCCTGGACTCTGCGTTTTGTGCCTGTAGAGCCATGGCGTGGGCGGGCACTGACCTGTGGCACTGGTGCCAAATCCAGCTGTGGCGTCCTGTCTTGGGACGGAAGTCCGCCCGGCCCAGGTTGTGAATCTGGGAGGAAAAGCGCAACAGGCGCCGGTGTCCGTAGGGCCAGTCCATGTGGTCAGCGGACTGGGAGAGGCAGTTCTCTTCATGGGCACAGTAGAGCAGGCTGAGCGGGCGGTCCTCCAAGTAGGCCGTCTCCTGCACCAGCTGGGCATTCATCACGAGGTCTGGAGCACCTGGGCCGCAGAGGGCACGGTGGGGGTGCACAGGCTGACAGACTGCTCAGTGTTCCCCCCCTCCCCCGTTCCCTTCCTGTCACAGTGTTCCTGTTACCCTCCCAGGAAGCCACATGCCTCTACCATCGCTATCCCCACTCCTGAGGGTTCAGGAACGTGGAGATCCACAGCCGTTGCCATGTAACATCAAGAGAGAAAATGTGCTTGCTCTCGGTGCTTGTCCATGCAAAAGCGGGGTTCCAGTTCAGATTTTTGGCGGAGGCCTCACACAGGTGAGCCTGTGTGCTAACTACAGTTTATTGGATGGGCACTGAGGGTGGGGGTGGGCATATGGCTGGTTTGCTATATAATGCCTGTACTGTCACGAAACATGCTCTGGAAATTCCTGTGGTATATTTTGCAGAGATCCAGGGTGTGCCCACTGACAAATCCTAGAGTCCCCAAGGGAAAGAAAGAGAGCTTTCAGAGAGAATGAGAAGAAAAGAGAGTAAAGGAAAGAAATGAGAAAAATCACAGAGGACAAAGAGGGACGGCCACAGAAGTGGCAAGTTAGCTGTCCTAAGCTGTTGTGAAGCCTCAAACGCGTTCAGGAGCAGAGCTGCCATTCCAAGCAGAACAGAGAGGGGTACATGTTCTCAGGAAGGGGAGTGAGTGGGGAGCAGGCCCCCAGTGTGCGTGAGCCTTGGTGTAGGCCCTCTCCAGCATCCCATCGCCCCACAGGGCAGGATGTGCTGTGAGGTCCAGGGTTCCTCCAAGGGACGCTGGACTGAGAAAGCCCTACAGCTCACTGACGAAGGTTAAGGATGTCTTGGCATTGAAGCTTGGTTGGGAAAAAGGTCAAGGGGCCACTTGGGTTGGTGCCAGCCTTTGGACCGAGTAGGCGTAGTTATCTTAGCACAGGCCTGGTTGGCAGATGTCAAACAGATAGATGCTGCTGCCCCAGGAATTGGTGCATGGGACAGACTGATGCCTGGAAATGGTCTTGGCCTAAAGCCTTTTGGGTAAATCCACAGCTCAGGAGAACACACAGGGAACTTAGGCCCACACGTTCTCCCATGTTTGTACCCTCTGCAACAGCTTTCAGACTTTTTCCTCACTACAAACTGCACTAAGAAATATATTTCATGTCATGACCTAACACATCTACATAACTCTAAGAAAAAAATACTGCCCTTACTAATATAACTCATTCTGTTGTTTTCTGTTCTGTTTCTTTTTTATTTTTTAACTATAGGTCATGTCAGGAAAATTGAAAAATACCGTTGTATACCCTTACATTTCCACATACCCTGTTTCAGTTCTCACAGTAACTCCATGAGATGGGCAGGGCAGGGTTTGTGCCCCAGTGTGAGCCGTGACTTGGCCACATACAGCTGGTAAATGGCAGAGCTGGTGTTCCAAGCCCAGCCCTCCTACCACTCCCCTACCCTACTGTCCTTGGCTGGGACCAGCCCTCAGAGCCCTCCCTGAGGGACGGAGGTGTAGGCTTGCTTCTGGGGGACCCCTGGCTGGCCTGCCCTGCTGTCCTTGGGCCCTGCCGTTACTCACTGTCTGTGCAGGAGACTCCAGCGGAGAGGCGCCCCGTGCCGTGGGAGCAGTGCACTGGCCCGTGCCTTTGACACTGCTGCAGGGCCAGCTCGGTGCCTGAGCAGCGCACCCCACTCATCACCACTTCTCCAGCCCCTGCTGTCCCCTGCCAGTACCAGGTGTCCTGAGAAAACAGCCAGCACCACCCAGTCAGGGTTGAGAGGCACCTTTGGAATCATCTCCCTGACTCCCGTCTGTGGCTTGGAGCCTACCAGACTACCCCCACCATGCTGTGCCCAGCCTTAGCCTGAAAATCTTTAGTGATGGAAGAGTCCATACCACTTTGGGCCTCTCCGATAGTAGCCATTTCTCCCATGTATTGAGGCAAAAATACACTGCCTGTGGCTCCCACCATCCCATGCGGTCTTGCTCCCATCCCTCTCCCACGTGGCAGCCCTCAGCTATTTGAAGAGGAGGGTCCTGTTCCCTTCCTGCCCACCCAGGCAGCCTGTCCCATTTCCCAGCCCCAGATGGTCGGTTGTGCTCAGGGTTGGCCCGGTTCTCCAGGTTAGGTGTGCCCAGCATTGCCCAGTAGGCCAGCACGGCTGCAGATGAAGAGGCTTGTCCATTACAGCCATGCCCAAAGCCTCTTGATTCTGTTTCTTTGACATCTTTGACTGTATTTGACGCTATCTGCTTATTTCTACCCTGACTGCCACTTGCCTGGTCCCAGCCAGCGTCATTTTCCACCTGGGCTCCTGCAACACTGTATTTCCTGACTCTCTTTCCCTGTATTCACATTAGTCCCCACCCCAACTGTTTGCCAAAGAGCAAGGAAGAAATCTTTTAAAAACCTGCACTGTAGGCTTTCAATGGCCTTGCCTCTGCCTCTGCCTCCTGCACCTTCACACTTCACACCATTCACCCTTGGAAGCCACTCTGCACCTCTGGCCCCTGATTTCCTCTACCGAGCAGAGCTTCCTCTGGCCACAGGTCTTCACATGAGCTGTCTGTTCCTCCTCCGCCTTATCTGCCTGACTTCCGTTAGTCTTTCCTGCAGACACAATCGTGTGCCTGTCGTGTGACCGCTGTACTAATGACTGCCTCGCTCCCTTGGCTGACTGTTCTGGGAGGCAGGAACTATGTCTTCATTCCCCACAGCATCCTCAGCACCCAGCATTAGACGGGCTCAGTTCCACTCAATAATTAATTGCTGAATATATGAATGAATGAGTGAGTGAATGGTTAGCAGCTGTAGCACAGGAAGTTTTAGAGCAAGACAGGGACCTACCGTGATAGCATGGTTGGCGAAACCCAGGCCGAGCTGTCGGCAGGTCACCATGGCTTCGGTGAGCCCCCAATGGTCACTGCACACGGCCCCCCAGCGCCGGACCCCGTTCACCTCCACCTGCACCTCCACCACACCCTCCTCAGGGCTGCGCCCGCCAGCCAAGCGCACCTGCAATGGTCAGACATGGGTGAGGAGCAGGGCGGCCTTACAAGGGAGCAGCTCAGGATGCCCAGGCCAGCTCACTGTGCGGCCCTGACCCGGCACTCCCCTTCTCCGGTCTGCCTCCTTCTGTGTAACGTGAGGACACTTCACCAGAGAGTCCCTAGTGTCCCTACCTGCTCCAGAAATCTGACTCAGAGTGCCTGTTCCTGGGGCTTCTATTCCAGTACTTGCCCTCCTTCTCCCTGAAATCCTACCATTAATGACACCTTGCCAGTTGCCAAGGATTTCTGCCAATAGTCCCATTCACAGTGGCACTATGAGTCCGTTAACCCCATTTTACAGAAGAGAGAACCACGATCAGAGACACCAGAGACTTGCCCACAGTCTACGTTGGCGTAATGCTTGAGCTCTGATCGCCCCTTGCAGCCTCTCCCTGACAGCCCTGTGGCCCTCTGCCCCAGGCCCCTTCTTCCTCAACTTCTATCCTGAGAAGGTGTAATAGGAGAGCCATCCACCTGAAGAGCTCCCATTGCCCTGAGGGGCTGTGGGCCAGGCCAGGGGAGACTTAGGAGAGGGGTGGCTTTTCGAGCTGGCTCCAGCTGGGGCTCAAGGCATGAGCACTAGCTGCCTCTCATGTACCCCTCCCCACTGGCTCTGCGCGGTGTCCTGGGACTATCTCAGGGCCTTCCCAGTCCCCAGCCTGAGCCCATGCCCAGACCTGAGCTCACCTGATTCTGGAAGCCCATGTTTGGGACATTGCACCTGACAGCAGCATCATTCTCATGTTGACAGCCGTTACGGGACCCTTTCAGGGAGGGGCATTCACCGAGGGTCCGCTCATAGCCCTTGCAGCGCACCTCGCTCAGGTGGATGACCCCCAGCCCTAGGGAGCGAGGGAGAGAAATGCCATGTGAGGTTCCATCTCTGTAGCCCCACGGCTGTGGCTTCCCCTCCCCGGAGGGGGGGAACTTATGTCCTGGGCCCTGGCACCCCAGGGCCACCGAGGGATGGACCAGTGGCACATCCAGGCCCTCCCACCGCACCTCGGTGCTCCTCACTCACCTTGGCCCAGCTGGGCCCCAAAGAGGGCCTCCCGAGCAGAGCCGAAGCCAAGCTGACGGCACACGACGCTGGCGGAGACCAGGTTCCACCCGTGATCACAGACCGTCCCCCACTGGCGGTTGATGAGCACTTCCACCCGGCCCTCGCCCACCTGGGCCCCCGCGCGGAGGCGCACCCTGGGCTCCTGCTGGGCAAACACCAGCGTCAGGGAGGACCAAGGAGGAGGCACAGGGGCTGAGCCACCGTGGGGGTCGGGCCAGGCCCCTTCGAGCTGAGACACTGCCTGCCTGCCTGCCTGCCCTTAACTGTCACCTCCAGCAAGCTGTTTTTCTCAACCTCCCTTCCTTCAGCGACAAAGAGCCACCACGATGTGATGGTAAAGCGACGTCCAGGGAGCCTTAGGATTATTTCCCTGCGCTTTACATCCCTGCCAGCTGGTCACCAGGCGAGTCCCTTCCTCTCGCCGAGCCTCTGCTTCCTCTTTGTCCTTTGGGGTTAAACTAGATCAGTGCTTCCCGAAGGGATTTGTGAAGCGATTTTAGAGACATGCAGGGACATGGTATTAATTAAACTGACTCACTGAGTGGGAAAGCTGGTTCTGCTGTGTTCTCTTCCGCTCCTGCCTATTTCTTCCAGGAGACCACCTGGTGGGGGCTGCCCTGTCTGTAACACCTCACCAGCACTTGCTCATTGCTTTTTATAACAAAGGGCCAGGCTCAGGTTCAATAGGGGATATAGCTACAATGTAATTACTGTTTTTATGGTTACTTTCTATTCATAGCAGGTGATCTCAGCTTTCCATTTATGGTAGGGTTATATATGGTTCCTTTTAAATAAATCCAAGGTTCTACCATTCCGTTCGGGGTGCTCTCCTCCCAGTTGCACTGATGCCTTCTTGATGGGGGCCACTGTCCCTCCTCTCCCGCCTGTCCTGGAGCTCCTCCCCACCAGTCCTTCCCCGAAAGGCAGGGTCCTGCTGAGAGGGGGCCTGTGCCTCCCTGCTGGGGTGCAGACACCAGGGAACCCACCTCTGCCCTGGACTCCTTGCTCCCGGGCTTGGCTTTTGGAGGGCGGAAGCGGGGCCCTGCCACACAGCTGACCACAGTGTGCATGCCACCCAGGCAGGCCGGCTGTAGCTTGCCACGTGCTGGCGCCACCTGCACCTGGCATTTGGCTATGTGGGGCTCCGTCCCCAGGCAGTTGACCCGGTGGATCCAGAAGGAATTCTTCTGGGTCAGGCTCTTCAGCCTGGAAGACAGGGGAGACTGCGGGTGGGGGAGGGGTTGAGGGAGGCTCAGGACTCAGGAAGGCCAAGGCACTGGGGAGTTGGGGAGGGGAGGGGAGGGTTGAGGAAGGGAAGGAAGGGGTGGGAAGGGAAAGGCAGGGGAAAGGAGGGGAAGGAAGGGCAGGGGAGGGAGGCCCTTCATGCCACATCCTTTTGCATCCTTCCCCAAGGGTACGCTCCTCACCTAGACTTGGGATCCTGCATCTTCAAGTTCCAGAGTTTCCTGGGTGGGAGAAAACAGGTGTGGTGTGGAGTGGGTGCAGAAATCCTACCCAGTGACCCTGGCTTTCACACTTGCCCTTGAGTTTGCACCGGACTTCACAGTTTGTAAACTCACTCACAGATCTTATTTCAGTGCTGAGCTTCGCAGCAGCCCTGAGAGGGTGACCACCTCACGGTAACAGTGATCTGTATTTTGTAGGGAAGGAAAGCAGGGCCTGGCCAGCTCCCTGGACTGACCCCGAAGTGGGGTCTCAGTAGGGTCACTGATCTGTCCCTGGGGCAGGCAGCCCCCAGCTTACCCTCTCCCCATTCCAGATGAAGGCAGCTTTAGGAAGCACCCTGAAAGAAGGGCCCCGGAGGAGAGGTCCTCTGGGGACAGGTGCAAATTGAAAGCCTTGCTGGTGGCGGCTGCCCACCCAGAGGCTATAATCAGGGCTGCCCTCCTCATGGGTGGTACTCGAGTCAGCCAGGCTCAGATGGGCAGTTCCAGGGGTGGGGGGTCAGGGGCCTCCATGCCAGTCACCCCCAAGGGTGGGACGAAGTGGCTGGTCTTCAGGACCAGGGAGGTAAGTCAGAGACTCAGGACAGAGCTGCAAACACTGACGGGTGGGCAGGGGTGGGTGATGACTCAGATGTACTGCAGGAGGCTTCTCCCTTGATGAGAAACATGCAGCCTTCAGGGGCGCGGAGCTGGTAGAGCTGTGCCCGGCCAGCCTCGACAGGCTGATGCAATCCTGTGGCAGTGCTGTCAGGTTTCTCACAGAACGCTCCACCCCACAGCCCAACGGAGGCCCGGCTGGGATCAGAGCTGAGGAAATTCACTGGGGCAAAGTTGGGATAATGCCTCACAGACTGGACAGGTGAGGCTCAGATGCCCTCCCCAGGCCCCGCAGCTGGTTGCCGGCAGAGCTGAGGACAGACTCAGGACGTCTGACTTGTGGGCAGCATTGTGAGTGTCTTTAGTGAAGTCTTTCTAAATCAGGGACACGATTTTATGCGAAGGTGTCGTTATTTTGGGGGTATTCTGTACTACAGCCAATTCTTTTTATCGACTAGTTTCTGACCATTTCTAGGCATCTCCTGGGGTCTCAACGTTCACCCTCAGCTTCCTCTTACGTTTTCCGCAGGATGCATAGCCCAGGGAGCCCAGGAACAGGGCTCGTTTGGGCCTGTTTCCCTCCCAGTCCCAACCCCCACCGCATGACCTGTCACAGACACCCAGCCTGCCGGTCTCAACTCTGCGAGGTCCCACCTGTCACAGACACCCAGCCTGCCGGTCTCAACTCTGCGAGGTCCCACCTGTCACAGACACCCAGCCTGCCGGTCTCAACTCTGCGAGGTCCCACCTGTCACAGACACCCAGGCTGCCGATCTCAACTCTGCGAGGTCCCACACGTGTCGCACAGATGCACTCACACATGCATGCACACAGCCCCTGTCCTCCCGCCTCCCCCGTGCCGTCGACCCAGCTGCCCTCCTACCTGTAGTAGTGGCTGTCGACAGGTGCCTCGCTGGGGAAGCCCAGCATCCCGCACACCACCCTGCTGTTGTTCTTGGTCCAGCCCTGGTCACACACTTGCCGCCAGTGGCCGTCGTACTTCACCTCCACAGCTCCCTCGGTCACCGGGCTCTGCCGCTTGGCACTGGCAAGGATGGGCTTGAGCCGCACCTCCTCCAGCCGCCGGCCCTGCAGGGTGTGTGGTCACCATGGGCACTGGGACTCCCGCCCCTGCTGAGCCCACTGCAGGCCTCCGTGTGGGAGAGCTGGGGCTCAGAGTGCTTGGGGATTGCCCCGCACAGCCCCCGCATTGGACAGGCCAGGAAACTGAGGCCCAAACAGGGAGGCATTTGTCCAAAGCTGTGTGGTGAGCACAAGGCAGAACTTGGGTTTGTTTAGGGCCCTTTCCTCAACTCTAGAGAGAACCAGGCAGATCTGTGCCCTCCCTGGGGTCAGGATGGGAGCTCTCGGAGTCTGGGAGGCTTCCACCAAGCATAGAAGGGAGGCTGAGAGTGGGCAAAGACCAGCTGCTTGAGATCGCCGACAGGATCCTTTGGCCCATAAGACCCCCCACCCTGGCCCTGGGGTGACTTAGACCATGTTGAGCCCCCGTCCTGGCCTACAGCACTTAGTGGGCCAGGGCCGGCTATCTTCACGGATGATAGCAGCCAGGCCTGGCCCTGCCTGCTCCCGTTGTTTGGCTTGGGCTGTTTTTAGCTCGGGGTTGTTTGTGCCGGGAAGAGGCAGCAATTGTGGCTGGCCTCATGGGTGAGGCAGCCCCTTGCCCCCCTGCTGCCTCCCTCATGGGGAGCAGCTTCAGTGATTCCCAGCAGGCCCAGCCTCTGCTTCCCTGGCCAGCTCCGCCTCAAGCTGGGACCCTCTGTCCATGCACCTGCTCTAGGCCACCAACAGGAGCCAGGGCCCAGGGATGCATCTCAGCCCAGCCTCTGCTCTCTCTTCCCTCCCTCCTCCAGGTTCATCACCCAGGAGGCTCCCTGTCCCCTGACCCAACACTTAACTCAGGCCAGGGCCTTCAAAACCTCCTCACCTGGGGCCCGAGGGCATTGGAGACTCTCTCGGAAAGATAGCCACGCTGGCGCTGGGGATGACACACCACCCCGACGTCCTCTGAGTGGCTGCAGTCACTGACGCCCCAGCCATTGGACTCGCACTGGTCCAGGGAGCTTTCTGGGCCCAAACAGCGCACGTTGTCCAGCCAGATGGGTCCTGAGGGGGAGGGGGGTGATGCTCAGGGAAGAACACAGAGAGGCAGGTTATGGGCTAGGATGATGGGCTGGATGGGACCTCGCAGTTACCGACTTTCCTCTTAAGCCCTAAGTAGAAAGTGGGATGAAGAGGAGAGGAGCTGGTTCTCCTGGGATCTTGATCTCTACAACCCTGCTTACTTACTGCTTCCTCTTGGCATCCGGTCCTGTGGAATCTGTTTATAAAAAATGCCAAGTAGGTCGAGTAATTAGACTGACCTGTTTATCCATTCATCCATCTATTTATTCATTCAACATTGGCTAAGCACCCACTGTGTGCCCGTCACTATGTGCGAGGAAGTTGAGTATATGCTTGTGCTGATGGTAATAATGGTGGCCTCACCGGAAGAACAAATAGGATGGTTGGAGCAGGGGTAACTGGCAGCTGAGGCACTCAGGGAATGCCCCCTGGAGGAGGTCCTTCGAGCTGGGTATGAAAGGACAGGTGGGGGTCTACCGTGTTCTGTCGGAGCCTCAGTGAGCCCAGCCCCTGAGAGAAGCCCACTATCATTCCCTTGTCATTTTGCTTGGTGGCACCGGTTACTCACCCTCCCCTGGCCCATACTTGGCACTGTGGGCCCAGGTTAGGGCAGTCTCAAAGCCCAGCTGACGGCAGGCTACTGTGGCCTCCCGGAGACCGAAGTTGTCATCACACACAGTGCCCCACTGGCCCTGGTGCAGCACCTCCAGGCGGCCCTCCTCCGGCCTGCTTCCCGGGCCCACCAGCCGTATCGTCGCAGTGCCCGGTGACTGTGGCCTACAGGGACGGATCTGGACCAGCAGCAGGAGCAGCAGGAGCTGGGAGAGGGCGTCTAGTGGCGACCACATCATGGTGACTTCAAGGGCAGATGAGGCCAAGGCACCTGGGGAATGAGTGAGCATGACAATGATGGCCACCTCTCTACCCCTGACCTCAGGTCTCCCTCCTGGCAGAGACGAAGCCTGGCAGGGCCCCTCCATGTGTGTGTGTGTTTTGGGGAGGGGTCCTGGTCTTGATTGAGTCTGGACTCTGAGGTTAGTCAATTTGGTTCAGATCTACTATTCATTGTCATGTGACCATGAGGAAGTTTGTGTTTAACCTTTCTGAGTCCCAGTCCCTTCACCTGCAAAGTGGAGATAGTTCCTGTCTCGCAGTGTTGTTGTATTAAATAAAATACTGTATGTGAAGTGCACAGCTCAAGCCTACCACGTGATAAGTGCTCAGTAAACAGCCATTCCTGATACAATGTTACATGTAAATAGAGGAAGGAGATGACCTACCCTTTGAGTCATGGGGGACCCCCCGGGGCGCCCTCAGGGCCAGAAATATCTACCCCAGGGGAGCTGCCCTCACCCTCCCTTTGATGTTCCCAGCACCCTGGCCACCCTCACCAGAGCAGGCACACGGAATGCTGGAGTGGAAGGGGTCATTTGAGGGGAGTATGGGCCTCTGCCACTCACTGGCTGTGTGGCTTGGGCAAGTCTCCTGAAGTCTCCAGGCTCTAATTCTTTATTTTGCAAGTGAGGTGGTTGAACCAAATACAGGGTGGGGCAGAAGCAGGTTTGCAGTATGGAAAAATAATACAATGCAAGAATAAACTCTGTGTTTCGAGTACTCACAGATGTAAGCCTCCCTCTGTCTCACCCTGTATTGTCTAGTATCTCCTTCGGCTGGGATTTGATATCCTCAAGCCCTAGCTCTAGGTCCCTCTAGGTGCATGGTTTCTACACTGATTCAACAAACATTTGTGGAATACTAGCTTTGGGCCCATCATTAGGCCAGGTGCTGGGACACAGAAGTGAAGACGGCAGACACTGCTCCCTGCCCTCCTGAAGCCCAGAGAAGAGGAATTAGGGAAGGCTTTCAGAGAAGGGGCACTCAACCTTGGCCTGGTCGGGCGAATACCCATTCTCCCAGGTGGGGAAACTTGGCATTCCAGGAAGAGGGAACAGAATGGGTAAAGGAGGAAGGAGGCAGAGATGAAAGTTTGTGCAAGAGCAGGAGGGGACAGAGGTGGAGGGACATGTTGGGGCCGGATGATTAAGGGCCTTGTGCACCATGAAGAGTCAGTCCGTCATCCTACAGGAAGTGAGTGGCGGTGGGAGGGTTTTAGGCCGTGACCATTCACAGAGAGAGGGCTTCATTCTTCAGCAGGCTGTAATCAGATGCTCTCTGGGTCCTTAAAAGGGGTGGGGTTGGGGGCTGGTCCTCTCTCCCTCCTACAGTATCGGCCCTGGTCCTGGGCCAGGGTGGGGCAGGAGCATAGAAGAGAAAGTTAGAGTTGGTTAGAGCTGTCAGAGTGTCTGTAGCCATCAAGGCCCAAGTTCCTCCAGTGCCAGGTTCTGCTGCTGATGGGAGCTGAGGCCGCCTGGAGTGGTGGATGGAGAAAGTGGGTGCTGGGCTGCCTGTTTAGTGCTTGCGTCATAAGAGACCATGTTGTCAGCGGGCCCCTGCCACTCCTTTCCCCACAGGCTGGTATTTGGCTGAATCACTCATCCCTTCCTGCACCCAGCCCCACTGCCTCCAGCTGCCAACCCTCCTGCTTTGGCCAGCCCAGGACTGGGTCACCGGGAATGCAGCTCCACTGAAACAGGGACTTTGTGCTGTGCCCCTACTGCTCAGAATAGAACCAGGTGTGTAGGTGGCACCGTGGCTGCACGGGTGGGAGGTGACGCAGCACAGCCCTGAAGGGCACAGACTGGGAGTCAGACTGCCTGGACCCACAATCCACCTCTGCCAGCTGGTTTCTGGGTGGTCTTGGGCAAGTGATTTAATTTCTCAGTGCCAGTTTCCTCTGTCAAGTGGGGATAATACAAGCACCTACCACATAGGATTCTTGAAGGTTAAAGGAATTCATACACGTTAAACCCTCAGAAGAGCAAGCTCTCAAGGACAGTCACTATTGGGAACAGCAGCTGGAACAGCCACTGTAGAGCCATTGGTCTAGGTTGGTCGCAGCTCCTCTTTGGATAAAGAAGGAATGGAAGCCACACTGGAACATAGCAGCGAGTCCTTGGGACCCCTCTTTGTGACCTTCTCCAGCTGTGCCTCTTTTACACCCAAGCCCTGGGTTCTCCTGCACCACCTGAGGCCCCGTGTTGCCTCTTCCCCTTTCTCGCCACTGAAGCCTGGCCCTGCCTTGACCCCTCCTGTACTTTCTTTCCAGACTTGGACACTGTTTTCTTCACCCTCCGTGGGGCCCCAGCTGGCTGTCCCCATGAGCAGAGTGTTCTCCCCTGTGTGGGATGCCCCCATTCCTTCCTCCTGCACCCCTCGGAGGAGGCAGATAGCTAGGGACTGAGCCGAACCAAAGTCACTGTGTGTAGGGGCCTTCCACAGATGACAAGAAAGGATGGGAAGGACTGGGCTCAGGGTTCTCCAGCTGGTAGGACCCAGTGGTCACATCAGGTCTGACCTGAGAGTGTACCCTGCTCCCTGTCCCCAGGAGTCAGGCTGCTCCTCACTATGCCACCAAATTGTTATGTGACTTGAGTCAGGTGCTTTCCTCTCTCTGAGACGGGGTGGCCCCGGGGCCCCCCTATCTGACATGCTCCGATGGACTGTGGAATAGGTTGGGCGGGTCTGCCGTGGGGCTGTGGCTGGTGTCCCACAGCATCATGGAAGTCTTATTAGAGACTGTGGACACTCCTGGGCCAACTGGCTCCTTCCCCTCCAAGGAGCCTCCCTGGAGGCAGGGGTGGGCTTCTGCTGTGGACCCTGGGTGCTCTGTCAGAGCAGCTCCCTTCCATGAAAGCTGCCCAGGAGGTGGACAGGCAGAAGGGGAACCTGGGAGGCAGGTACAGGGGAACCCCTCTCGTGAGCCTTCCTGCCCACTGCAGGTCCCTCTGCAGCTTTGGCTCACACCACACCTGTCTCCTCACATTCCCCGGCATATCCTTCACATTCCCAGCCGCCGAGACTGTGCTGTCACTGCTCCTTCCACTTGGAGCATCCTTTCCCTCCACTCCAGACAGGTAAATTCCTACAGTACCCAGCTCAAATGCTGCCTGTTCCATTACGCCTTCCCAGATCCCTCCTTCCTAGCACTCGGTGTGTTGGTTTCCCGTCTCCATCACCCGTCTCCACAGCGTCTCCTCAGCACAGGTCCCCCAGCGCTGAGCACAGAAAGGAGGACCAGGCCGAGGAGCCTCCCTTGGAGAAGGAAACAGCCTCAAAGTGGCAGCTGTTTTCCCACTTGAAGGAGACAGGGTGAGGGAAAGGATGGGAGTGGAGGTTAATAATAATAACTATTACTACATAATATAAAAATACTTATCGAGTACTTATCTCCACTTTACAGATGAGAAGATGAAGCCCAGAGATGCTAAGTAACTTGCTCAGCCAGGATTCAAACCCAGGCAGACTGACTCCACAAGCCAGGCTCTCAGCCTTGAGCGATGGGGGTGGGAGGAGGGGGAAGAAGGAAGAGAGGCAGGGAAATGAATGAAATTCCACCCTGTTGCTGGTTGATTTATGACCTGCTGTGGTGTGCGGACACGGGTAGGTGCCAGTGTTCCATGCAACCAAATGACAGATCCAGGCCCCTGCCAGCTTGAAGGAGAGAGCTACCTGCTCCAGGTGCTGCTTAGGGACTCTGGCACCTGGCCCTGCTAGGGAGGACTAGAAATGCCCGAAGGTGTCAGGAGGGAGCGCTGGGGACCCTGTCCTGGTGGGCAGTAGCCTCTGGATCACTCCGAGTTCCTTCTCTGCCTCTTTGAGAACGAGGTGGGGCTTCTCCTCTCAGCCCCGTTACTCTCCCTGGGATCAACGATTATGGTGACCCGAGGCAGTGCCAGCCAATGGTCTCTGAGCTCTACCTGTCCAGGCATAGGACCTGTGGGGGCTGAAGCCCTCAGCCCACCTTCCCTCCTCTGCCTGCCCTCCCCTTCTCCTCTCCCCCTCCCTAATCGGCTCTGATCTGCGTTGTTGGAGAGCCTGGCTCTGTCCTGCCTCTTTGTCCCCCAAGTCACAGGAGTGGCACAGATTCTGCCTCACACCTTCCCCTGCCTCCTCCCTGGGGGAGAAGGCAGAGAAATGGTTACAGTCAGCCACTCACAAGTTAGACACGCAGGCACCCTGAGGCCAGGGCAGTCCTGGGCAAAGCTCCTCAACTTGGTGACTTCTGCTGGAAGCAAGCTGGAAAGCAACTGGGAGCTAGGCTAACTGTCCAGGGACCCACATCCCTCCCAGCGCCCAGCCCTCAGGAACCCTCAGAGGCTTGCAAACCCACAGAGAGACGGAAGTAGACAGACTTACAGGACTGCTACAGACAGACCCAGGGCCAGAGCCAGGGCCAGGCAGGGGCTCACCAGCTGGAACAAGGATGGTCCGGGGCTGGGCAGGCGCTGCAGCGAAGCAGCGCTAACAGGCCTCCTGGGGCGCCTGGGCCCTTTTATCCTGCTGGGCCACGGGCGCCCCCCACCCAGCAGGGCGTGGAGGAGGCCCCGCAGGCCCCGCCCCCGGGCTGCCCTGGAGGAGGCCGGTGCCCCGCCCCTTAGCTCCTCCGCCTGGCTCCCCTAGCATGCAGGCCGGCTAGTGTGGCGGGGTTCCAGCCCTCAGAGGCTGTGTCCGTGGCCTCTTGGGCCTGGGAAATCCCGGAGTCATTAAGTTGCGGGGGGTCAGAGGGGACGGAGAACTGTTTCCCGTGGAGGCAACTGGCGCGCTGCGGCAGGAGGGGTGGTGGGAGGGTCTGAGTTCCAGTGAAAGGATAGTGGCTCAGCGCCAGAGGGCTGCATCTGCCGGAGTGTGACTCTGGCCTCCTGAGTCCCTGTGCGAGGCAGGCGGGCGCAGTTTCCTCCTCCACAGAATCAGGTGATAGGCCCACGCCCAGAGTTGACGTGGGGATTACATTCTGTGGGTCCCGGACAGGTGCCAGCGGGCCCTTCCCGTGAAAGTGCCTCCCAGTCGGTCCGAGGGTGCTTGGTTATTTAGGACAAGGCAGGCTCCCTTCTGGGGGTGTGGACAGCAGTTCGGGGGCTCCGTTCCAATGATCCAGATAGTGTGGTGCAGGTGTGCTCTCTCTGGAGTAATAGGTGGTCCTGTGTTGCCCTGGTCCCTCAAAATTTATTCCATGGCCTTGAGGCCTCTGTTCTGCCCATTGTGCAGTTGAGAACATTGAGTCCCAAGAGACACGACTCAATCCCCAAGTCACCAGGAAAATTTAAATCCTTCACTACCATTGCTTACAGAGTGGAGTGAGGCGGTCCTGGCCTTTGACAGGCGTGTGGGGAAGGGTGTGTGTGGAGGGTGGGATAGGGGGAAGCTATGGAATAAGATGAAAGTAGAAAAGGCTAAAAGAACAGAGTCCCACCAAATTAGCTGAGCACCCAGGTGCCAGTCTCTTTCCTTCACATTCTTTTCCACAGTCCTGGTCCCTCCCAGTGCCTCAGTGCCCCCATCTGTGAAATGGGGAGTTCTAACCTCCCATCTTCTTCCCTGGGCTCAGGTCAGTACAGTCCGGTTTCCCCTCCCCCCTGCCTTGCCTGAGTGTCATTCCAAAGGCTCATTCATTCAGCAAACCTTTATTGATTTTCTCCTACGTGCCAGACAGGGTGCTGGAGTGCTAGACACACAGGGGTGGGTGGGTGGGAGGGGCCTTCCCCGCCTGGTCGGAGAGGCAGATGTGTAAACAAACTTCACCACAGACAGAGATTGATTAGAGCTAGGATGGCAAGGTGGGCCTTTCTGATCCCTGGGTGACACACTGACTTGGCTGCCAGGGGACCGCCATCCACCCCTGGCTGCCCATGTCTCAGATGTCCCCCCAGTGCCCCTGCCCTGCCCCAAGTGGGTCCAAAGCATTCCCTGTGATGAATCAACAGGAAAGAATGCTCCCAGCCTTGGGTCAGTAGCAGCAACAGCAGCAGCAGCCCGGCCCCTCCCCCAGGGACAATGAGGCAGCTATGGGCTGTGGTGCCAGGTATGCCTTGTCCCCCTCCCCGTGCCTAGCCACCTCTCATACCCAGCCAGCAATAACACGGAGGGCTCGGAAACGTGGTGGGCCCCGCCTGCTGCCAATCACCAGCCTGGCCTGGCCGCCCAGAGCTAAAAATACCCTGGAAGCCAGGGCTGGCCCAGGTTAGAGCCCAGCAAATGAATGGATGTTGCCCGGAAGTCCTTTAACGGCAAAGCTCTGGGCAGAGGCTGAGGCTGGGGAGCAGTGGAAGGAGGGATCTCCGGGGGGTCCCTGTGAGCACCTTTCCTCGAGAAGTGAGGGGCCCCGGCCCAGGCCCAGGCCCAGGCCCGTAACTTACTCGCGGTCGGATTGTCTAAGCTGAGTGGCCATCTCCTCAGCCTGAAACGCTGTTGCTGCAGGGGTCAAATGGGACAATCCCGTTCGTCTGAACAAGCGTCGACTTGGTGGAGACTGCCCGCCTCCTCCTTCGTGCCTGGCTGTACTCACGGCCGGAGCAGCATCGAGACCCTTGCTGCCCTCCTGATATCCCGGTCTGTGTCCACCTTGACTGTGGGAGCCCCTCACACTCCTCATTCGTCTCTAAACCCATTTCGCTCACAGTGCTCAACAAGTGCTGGTGGATGGAATAAATGGGCCTGCTTTGTGCTGGTCCTTAAGCCAGAGCTGGGGACGTGGACACAAGCCAGATGCGATCCCTGTCCTCAGGGAATTTTCAGAGCAGTGGGGGAGAGAGACCCACAATCAACCGACCGACAAGGCATTGTAGTCACCATAATGGCTAGCAGGGTGGAGCAGTTTTTGGTCTATTATTTCATGTAAGCCGCTTAAAATCACTATGGATGATACTGTCATCACCCTGCTTTTACAGATGATGAAACTGGGTCACAGAGAGGTTACATGATTTTTGCAAAGTCACACAGCTGTTGCTGGCAGCGGGGAGCAAGTAGTAAACTGCAGTGGATACACAGGGCTGTGAGTCCAGAGGAAGCAACTCGGAGAGTGAATACAATTCACTAGGTAGAGAGGTGGGAAAGTGGGGTGGTCACAAATGCTGTTTTGGAAGCCAAAGAACACTGTACAAGTGGCAGGAATTATCCCATCTTCCCTCACCCCTCACCTGGAGTCCTGGGGTGCAAGCGTCACCATCTGCCCACCCATCCCACCAGGGTGAGGAGCTGAAGGGTTGAACAGTAGCTAACATGAATCTCTTCGCCATGGGGTATTCCTCAACCCTACCCAAATCAGAGCCTGTGCTTTCCTGCCAGGCGGGAAGGTCGGAATCTCCTGCAGAAAGCTGTGACCTGGAATGGTGCCAGAGGCACGTGGGGAGAACCCAGGTGGAGTATCCAGTGCCATGTCTGCTGAGAAAAACTTCCCCTTCGGCTGCTTTCAACACTCAGTCAGCCCCGCCTCAGACTCCATGTGGAGGAAATTATAGGGCTTGGTGATCAGGGGACTGGAGTTCTAGTTCTGACTGTCTGAACTGTGTGGCCTCAGGCAGGTCATTTTGCCAAGCCCAAGCTACAGCCTCCTGCATCCATTTGCTTTGCTTTCATACCCCTGCCCCTCTGACATCCAAGGTTCCAACTGTTCTCCTCTCCTCCCTGCGTCTTGGCAGTCCCTGACTTCAGTAAATCCTACACGGATTGATCTTCCTAATGTGTTATCATGTCCTAGCTCAAGAATGGTCTGGTCGATGGCTCACTATTGCCCACCGAGATGGAGACCTCTGCTTCTCCTCCTGTGCCCTCTACTCCTTTCCTCTTCTGACTTCATTTTCCATATTATACTATCCTTCAGGTCTCACGCAGGTTCCAACTCCTCTGTGATCCATCCATGAAACTTTGCATGAATGCTCTCAAAGTATAAGGTGCTGGAATGGGAGCCAAACAGGGCACAGTCTCTGCCTGGAGTTGCTCGCCACCTAGTCGGAGAGACGACTCAAAGATACGGCAGTGACAGAAGGTAGCCTGATCCCAGAAAGCAGCACTAGTGGGGAGAAGAGACCCTTTCGACGTGGGGTGGGCTTTTGCTTTGCTGAGAGCTGTTTAACTAGGCACGGGGCTTTTGTTGAGGGGTGGGGGTGGGAGCTGAGGGGAGTTTGAGAGTCTTCCGGGTGGAGGAGTGAGGAGGTGGAACCTAGCAAGGCTGGAGGTGCTAGCCAGGGAGATGATCCCTGGGGGGAAAGGAGAGATGGGCTGGCTGTAGTGAGGAGAGGAAACTGGGGGAAGGACAGAGCTGGTTAAATAGAAATGCATGGAGTTTTGCAGTGTCACCATCCCTCATTCCTCTGAAAGCTTCGGAAAAATCTCCATTCCCCAGTGATGTTTGCAGCTGGACAGGCCCACCCCGACATTTGCTGGGCCTGGGCCTCATGCCATACGTCCAAGTGTCTAGGAGTTAACATTCACACTAATTTGTTGTCAAATGAAACATGGTCTGTCCTCCTGCCCTGACAGACACACCTTCAGAAAGACCTGGAGGCCACCACGTTCGAATGCAGCACTTTCTACCTCTTGGACTTCTGTGCAGGACATGTCATCACAGTGAGTGCCTGTCTCTGGCCCCGAGCCCCTGTGTGGCCTGGCCCCTGCTCCATCCCTAGCAGCAGGGGCCCCTCTGCTGCGACAGGAAGCGCACATAACAGGTCCCCTCTGCCGGACCTTCACAGTGGCTGCCCTTTGGCCGCCCTGAGCCTGGGGACACAGCCTGGAGGCAGTGTCCACACTCAGGAGGAAGGCTGGGAGCGGGCTCAGGCCTCCTGGGTCAGGATCGCTGGAGCGCAGGTTTGGAAATGAGCCAAGGGCTCCAGTGGGCACATCCCCTTGGCCTGGGAACTCCGTGCTCTGTGGAGAGGGCATGATCAGACACCGGCCACAGTGATGCCCTGTAAAGCCTGAGGGACCCAAGCAAGGACTCCCTCGCTGAGGCCTAAGGACAGTTGTGGGGGTGGGAGGTAGGAGGTGTAACATGAAGGTGGGAATACAGTTTGGAGGGGGTGTCTGGTGGCTGGGTGGGGGCAGGGGGTACGAGTCACTCAAATTATGTTTAGAGAGCAGTGAGCCATTTAGCCCCAGAGCTGGGGGCGGGGGCAGGTGTTGGGGGGATACACTGAAGCTTTCCGAGGAGGGTTGGGGGTAGAGGTTGGGTCTGATCAGAAGTGGGCTGTAGGAACCTCAGTCTTTCTTGGTGCTGTCTTGAGTTGGTATTTAACTCTTCATAGACTCATCTTTCATTGAAGGAGGTGGAGTCTGGGGAGGGAGGTGGACAGGGAGGATCTGTATAAACTGTAAGCTGCTGAAAGTCAGAGAACCCAACTTAGACCTCCCAGTCACACCTTTGCCCCTGTCCCCCGCCCCAAGAAAGGTCCTAAGTTCACACAGAGGTTTGTGTGTTCAACTTGATTTGACGCCAGCAGCCTAAGGCTCATCTCTGCCCCACAGCCGTCTCCCCCATCCCC